TGGTTAATTATGATGTGAAATTTACGCATTCCAATGTTTTAATAAGTGTATATTCTTGCTTTTAATCCTTAAAACCCATTTGGAATCAACCTGCAATAAAGAGGGAACTCAACAAAGCTAGTTTCTACTGGTTACTCTTTTCAGTAGACGTCTAATTCAAATTCGTTAGATTCGTCGGTGTAAATTTCAAATGCACCTCATTCATTCTTTAAGCTCAAGACGCTTTTCAAAACATGTTGCTAATTTAATTACGGAGGAAATTTGTAGAGAATAAAATATAATTTGTTAGGTTTATTTAGATTTGACTCTAAAATATACCATGAGGGTTTCTTATTTGTTTTTTTGTTTTGTTTTATAAATTCGTTTAATTAAAACATTCTTGATTACACCGAGCTTGTTACTGTCACGCACTATAAAAATTTGGGCGATCTGATGTCATCACAGCAGAAGCACATGTCTAGTCTGCAAATCACCACACGAAAATGGACCAATTGGCGGGCAGGAAGCGTTTTTGGGGGCGCGACCTGTTCTGTTTACAACTAGACTGCCGACCAGCAAGTGGCATTGCCCAACGAAGAATGTGTGCTTGGAAAAATGTAATCAGACCTAAAGAAATGCACGCAAAAACAATATATAAAAGTCGCATCAGTTTTATTGGTAAGAATTAAATTTGCTGAGCAGTACAGCAAAACAACAGGTACTGTACGTATTACTGTATTAAATAATGTGTTAAATTTGCGTAGGCTAGGCAGTCAAAAGAATCCAGGGCTTTGATAAATTAATTAAATAGCTAGGCCCTGACTACAACAATCTTGTTCAAAATGGGTTCAGTACAAGTTTTACAAACTAAACTGGACGAAAAACTGAACATTGGAGCCGGTCCGGAGGGGTGTTTTGTGAGAGTAGACTGCAACGACATACGATCATGTGAGCCAAGTTCCACAGCGCGCTGTCTGAGATGTTAGTTTGACATGGCTAACTTGTTGCCGTACAACGAGGATTGAACTTCATATTTTCCCACGGCTGTGTATTTTTCCCACGTGCCATGGACGGGGCCGGAAGGGGACCGAAAGTTTGGCTGATTGAGACAACAGTGTCGTAGGGGGTCCGGGGCATGCCCCCGCCAATTTTTTGTGTTCTAGACGCCCGAACATAACATTTGAGGCATTCTGCCGTGGCCGGGCCGGCCCACCCTAAATCCGCCCCTGCGTGCGCTACTAAATTTGGAACTTCCACTTGTGTGGTTGAAATTACTTTAAAATCGGCCTATCCGGACAGGAAAATTCCGTCGATATAGCCGAAATTCGAATTTACAACAATTTACACAGTAATACATAGGAAAGAATTGGGACTTTAAAAAAAATTCGACTGACGCAAATTTTCGACTTAAACAGAGTCGGCTTTGGCGGACTCGACTGTATAAGTAGAGCATCACTTCCATACTCATGCATACACTGGCAAATTACGCACTACACTGTTGGAATAAAAAAAAATAATTGATTTCTTTTGCCATTAGTTAATCATAAGAACTATCATTCATCTGAAAATCGTAACAATAAACTTCCTTTGCAAATTAATAAGAGAAAAATGATAATAAAATAGTGAACTGCAGGTATGATAATTGTGGAAGGGATTTGGCGCAGTGGGAATGGTTTGGTTTCCCAATCTCGAGGTCGGGGTTTCAATCCTTCACTGTTCATTTCGCTTGTTGTTCATTTCCTTGAGCAAGGCACTTTATCTACATTGCTTCAGTTCACCCAGCTGTATCAGCAAATTGCTGGGTTTAACCTGCGGTGGACCAGCATCCCACCCAGGGGGAGTATTATTACTCTGTCATCTGCTTCACATTACAGAAACTGTTGATGCTCCAGCCCCTATGAGCTCTAGTGGCTCAGCAAGGATTTACCTTACTTTATGATAATTAAATAATGTTAAGTGCATAGAATCTATAGATGAGGATGGCAATATGAATATAATACTGTTAATAATTAAGAAAGCTTAGTGGTAAAATGTTTGTATATCAAATTTATTTTTGTTTTCTATTTTATTGGTGGTTGGTACTTTATGTAATTCATTTGAAAAATCACAAGCAATTCAGAGTTTTTTAATTTTATAGTTTTTCTCATTTTTTAGTGGTTTACTTTTTCATTTAGTGATTTAAAATGTATAATTTGAAAAAAATATACTGTGTGTTAACTTAATTATGTGATCCGTCAGACTGAATGTTTTACATGTCTATTTGGAGATAATTTTTATATTTTTTGGTAACATTTTTCAACAATTCATAACTGGGGAGAATTGGTTTATGTTACATTAAATTACATGATAATAACATTGTTGTGTAAATATCAAGTACTGTAGTTAAATTTGGTGGTCACAGAATTTTTTAACTGTCAGTTTTGAAGGGTCGCCTAAAAAGCTGAGGTTAAACAAAATTTATTTATTAGTACTTTTTCAAAAAAGGAATTTTTAAAATATAAGAGGAAAATTTAGAGGACCAAAAAGTAACTTATTGTCAAGTTTTCTATTTACATTACCACAGGAGAATCTACTTTCACTAAAAGGAAGTCATGAAAAAGAGAAAAAAAAGTTAGTCAAGGACTTAGCAGCAGCACGAAAGGAATGCAAGGATAACCTAGCAAAGAGGCATGAAGCACAAGAGGCTTCAAGAAGACTTTCTGCTGCTTTAGAGCAGGCTGTTCAGGCCAAGGTAAACATTCAAGCAGCTTCATTTGGCCTAAAGTATAATTGGCTAGATCATGAGCTAATAGTACCGTAATAATTACGTCGGAACACATCTCTCACATACTGTACCTGATTAATTCAATGGCTAAGACAGAGTTTTAACCAAAGTGGGGTCCAAGGTCCCTGACGGAGTGTCTAATGTCTCCAGCAAGACGCCAGGTCCCTTACAGCAAGTCCACACTTACCTCATGGAAACCCACCTGTTGTGGAGCATGAGCAGAAATGGCACATTCTGACTGTAAAAATGCTTTATCAAACTAATGTTCCCTGATAAAATGATTTATACGTTTTCCCTGGGGGTTCGCTGACAATTGTCCTCTGCCTCCCTGGATACCCTTTTTTGCCGCCACTGGATTCATTATGTAATATAATTTTTGTTTAAGATAAATTTGAAAATCATTTCTTCTTTTCTGTAAATAATAATCTAAACACATTATATATCTTAGCTAGAATTATCAGTTAATTAACAAATGTTGTCATTTTGTTTTTAATTCCAGGCTGAGCTTGCTTTAAACTATGAGGACCTTAGAAACAGCAAACAAAAACTAAACAAACAACTTTCAGAGGTTTGTGTATCTAAACAAATTTTGTTGTTTTTCTTCAAGATTTTCAGGAAATATATACTGTATCGGTTTGCATCTGGAGATACTCACAAATTTTGTTTGAATTTTACTGTTGTTGCAATTTGATGGACACAAATTAATCAAGTTTTTATTAGAATTCTTAACATTGCTATTACATTATTATTATATTATTATTTTTGATTGATGTTGTTCAATTAAATTCTTTGTAATATCAGAGTATATTTGCTACAAATATCATATATCTGTTTAATCATTTCACCTTAAGACAATACAGTACACAACAATGAGTGAAAACAACTGAAGAATGCCTATATACTACAGTACTATACCATTTTTTGTTACAGACAAGGGAAGAGTTAGCAAGAGAATTGGCTTTAAGGAGCAGCTTAGAGGAATCACACAGTGCAATACTTGAGAGACTTCAACATCTGGAGACCATTGTCCAAAAGGAACGAAATGAGGTAGTGAAATGTAGACACAATACTGGTACTGGTACGGGCATTTATAATGCACCTCTTCCTTGCGGTTATAAAGTGCAGTTCCTTTCCCTGGTCATTGGGTCCACATGTTAAGTGTTGCTGCTGGTAATCAGCGCAGGAGCAGGCAACCCCACCAGGTACCCATTTATACTCCTGGGTGGAGAGAAGCAATGCAGATAAAGTGTCTTGCTCAAGGACACAAGCAAAATGCACAGCGAGGGATTGAAACCCCGACCTCGAAGTTTGGAAACCAATCCGTTCCTGGTGCGCCAAACTGCTAACTACTATAAAGAATAATCAACCATACTGAAACAGCATCTGGATTATCATCATCATCATCAGCATCATCATCAATTTATTCATCATCCCCATCAACATCATCATATTCATCAGCAACATCATCATAGTCATCAGTATCATCATCATCATCATTTCTCTTGGAGCCACTGTCTTGGCCGCAGTCTCTGAGCACCCATTCGTCTGTGACAGGGCAAATGTGAAACGTGCTCCATTGTTTGCACCACCTAGGTAGAGGTCTGGGATTGCACCAGAGCAGAGACGTATGGTTGACTTTAAGAGACTGTGCACTGCTTGTCACCACACCTTATTACTACTATATTTATTATTATTTTTGTTTTAAATCCTTTTTAGTTGTTGTTAAGTGCATAAAGGCAGTTTCTTGCAATATGCCCTATATAAATAGCAATTTATTATTATTATTATTTTATTCATCATCATCATCATCATTGAAGCTGAGCAGTTGGCTGCGAGGTATTGTTTCTGCTTCTTGTGCTGAAGACCCTGTTGAAACTTGGTTAGTGCCGGGTTATAATTGGAGTCTGATCGCTCAGCTCCTCGTAAAAACCGTCACATGTGCTGGGTAAGGAACTCGTATTTATCCATTGCATGTTGTAGTTAAGTCTGGTGGCGCTGCAGTGTTCCTGCCGCATGTCTCCCAGAGACTCGAGCCCATATTTCCAGTTTCATAGTTGAATGAGGGCAAATAAAGAATTATTATCATCATCATCATCATCATTTTTCGTTTCGTTCATCATCATTTCTTCAATAATAATTCATAGTCATCTTCGCCGCTGCCTCCACCACCACAGTGTTCTTCCCGGGTAGAAAGCCAAGCATCACTGAAAATGTGGTGTACGTTTTAAGTATTACCAATGTATAAACTGATTTATATTTCTAAGCTCAAAATTGTTATTTTTAATAATTGAAACTAACCAAAGATAATGCTAAGATGCATAATAATAGGTGAAGTTTACTTTTTAAAGTTGATATTAAAAAGTAAACATCTATACATAAACGTCTATAAATATGTAGGCAGACTGATGTTAACATGGATTTTACAGTTAAACAAAATAGATTAGTAATTTTAGAGGATTTGCTTTTCTGTGAAAAAAGATATTAATGATTATGTTTTCTTTGTTGTTTTATTATATTTTAGATGGAGAGCTTTTCTAAAAGCTGTGCTGTTTTGAAAGATGAAGGTATAAAGTTAAATAGAGAGAAGGAATTGATTCAGAATGCCCTTTGTAACTCTAAATTGGAGATCAGTAAGAATCAGTCAATTTACAAATGCATAATGGGCTTGCCATCCCAAAACCGGCGTACTGTCGCTAATTGTTCAACTGAGTAATTAGCATAAGAATGTGGCGGTATTGTATTGTATTGTATATAGTAAGTCAATACAGTAGAAACCCTCATTTACGAACCCCTATTTAACGAATTCCCTGATTTTACGAACGTAAAATAAAGGTGATGACATCATAAATTTTTAAGTTAAAGATTAAAAAAAAAAAAAATCTGCTTGAATTGTAACTGTTATTAGCATGCATACAACACAACACATCATACTATACAGTACTATTTAATTCTCAATTGAAGGAGGCCCTCTAACGGGCCTCTTCAAAGTCAGAGTGGGATCAGAATGCTTAGAAGCTGCCTACTGTAGACCTAGGCCCCCTCAGACTTAGCTGCGTAGGCCTGTAGGCTTAGCCTAGGCCTAGTTTATGCCAGTGTAAGTAGTACTACCAGTGCAAATATATAGGAATTTGGGTCAACCCCGATTTTACGAATACCCGCATTTATGAACGGCTCTGGGCCCATGCCGTACGTAAATGAGGGGTTCTACTGTACCAATAAATGACCTATCATTTTAAAGTTTATAGTGTGGAGAGAATATATAAAAAAGTAAATTTTCTTATTTTGGTCAATGATGGTGGTTTTGGCATGGCAAGCCCCACATGATTTTTATAGCCTCTCGATAGGGTGTAGCTTTTGCACAGGTTTTAGCTTTTTTTTCCACTTCCATTCTGTCGTTTGTAAATTTCTTTTTTTATCTTGAATGCTTAAATTCAGTTTTTCTAATTGGTTTCAAAGTTGGCCTATTGATTTAATACTTAAGTAATTGTTTTTGTCATAATTAACTTTACATATATCTGCTACCAAACAACAATAACAAGATGAAAATTTAGTCTAGGCTTTAAAAACTAAGTATTTTATAAATAAAGAAAAACAAATTGTCTTAATAATGAACTCATCCAATTATCAAGTTCACAGTATGTGTTCTTTAGATACGTGTTGATCTGTCACAGTGATTAATACATGAAATAATTAAAACAACTTATGTGTCATGTCCATATGCACAAGCAAAGTACAGTCCCTTGACATTATAAACACTGCATAGTTTTTTTTTTCATTTTTGTCTGATGTGTACAATACATTTAAAGAATTTTAATTTATTAAAATATGGGGTTTTTTTTAGCTGCCAAGGAAAAGCAAATCATAAAGCAGATTGAAGAGATGCAGGTAATTTGTTTAAAGCATGGTCAGAGCCAGGTGTTGTCACCAATAGTAATACTAGTGAACATGTACACACACACACCCACACACATACACCCATATTGAGTTGGATGGCTAGGCGGTTAAGGCAGGGGCACTGCAACGTACATCCATAATATCACCACTGTTTTGAACGGCACACTTGCCTATGGTTCTGGTGGTGGAATTTGGTGTGTGCACTTTAAAAAAACCCAGTACATCTTTCGAGATGAGTAGGGGGTAACCCCAGTGTGCTGGCCCATTCAGCCTCTGTAGTGGACAGACAAGAGTAGCTAGTTCCAGTTTACCAGGTAGCTCAAACACAAAGAGACCCTTAGAGAAGAAGCAATTTACTGTAAAGAGCTAGTCCACAACTTAACCCTATCGGTATGAAGTGCTATATCTAACTACATTACATTTTGTTACTGCTCCTGGTTGCTCCTCCTGGCTATGTATGTAGATTCCAGATAATCAAATACAATTGCAGAGGTGATAATACTTGTATGTCTAATCATTCATACATTTTCTCATTGAAGGTGTTTCTTACCAATCTTGAGCATTTGAAAAAAGAAAATGAGGCTTTGAAAATACAGCTTGAAGAATTGAGTAAACATACACACAGTATGAAGGTGATATAGTGGTTTGTATCATTGTGTTCAGTAAACCTACACACAGTATGGAGGTGATAGTCGTTTGTCATTGTAAATATACGCACAGTATGAATGGTGATATAGTGGTCTGTATCACTATATACAGTAAACCTACACACGGTATGAAGGTGATAAAATGGTTTGTGTCATTATCTTCAGTAAACCTACACACAGTATGAAGGTATATGGTAGTTTGTATCATTATATATAGTAAACCTACATACAGTATGAAGGTGATATAGTGGTTTGTATCATATACAGTGAACCTACACACAGTATGAAGGTGATACAATGGTTTGTATCATTATATATAGTAAACCTACACACAGTAAATAGGTGATATAGTGGTTTGTTCAATTGTATTCAGTAAACATGCACACATTATTTATAATTGTGTTCAGTAAACATACAGTATGAATGTGATTGTGGTTACTTTGTACCAATGTATTAAGTTGATGATAGGAAAGTTTGCCAAAAGATTTTAACATTAATTTATTTAGAATCTCTAAACAACAATTCTCTACTTTAGGTTGCATTGGAGTCAGCAGAAAAAGAAAAGCAAGGTTTGCTAAGCAGAGTTGAGCAAAGTGAAGCCATTCAAAATGAAGTCGTTGAAAATGAACAAAAGAAATCAAATGATATTATTCAAAATATCAACACTCAACTACAGATGCAGATTGAATTAAAACACCAAATGCAAAAAGAAAGGTAAGACGTTAAAATAGCACTGTTGTTAATTTCCCTTCCATAATCTGAATTGAAGACCAGTGCCAGCCATAGTGCAGGTGGAATGGACAGTATCAGGGGCTGATCCAGAGATGTCCGAAAGGGGGGCCCGGAAGTGGGGCTGATCGAGACAACACTAACCTAGGGGGTCCGGGGAATTCCCCCGCAAAATTTTTGTTTTCTGGACGTCTGAAAATAACCTCTGAGGTGTTTTGGGTGATCAATTTTTTCTTTTTCTTTCTTTTTTTTTTCCTTCACTTTACAAAAGGGGGAGTTGGGGCAGGCCCGGACCCCCTAAGTCCGCCCCTGAGTACACATACCCAATTCCCTGCATGTACAGTATGTACTGTGTAAGCATGCTGGGTGCTGTGTGCATGGCACATTTTTTTTAAAACACTGTACGTTATAACCTGTACAGTATTTAAAAATTAAATTGATGGACTAGAATCTATAGACACAAAGGTCTCCATAGCTCAGCTCACAAATTGTAATTTTCACCACCTGCAGAACTGTGACATGCTGCTCTGTACTATCCTACTGCCATGGGAAAGCTAGGCCAAAATTATAGATGGCCACCATCTAGGGTCTTGTCTAGTTAGCCCTGGAGCTAGCAGTGATAATGTGCCAAACAAATATAAAAAATACACCCCTGGCATTAGACTGAGACTGTGATTACAACAGGAAATAATTACAAATTAGTGCAGTTAGTATTACAGTATGTACAGTAGATTCATCTATCATGGTTTAATAGTATAAATAAATTTTGAACTTTGTATATATTATATTTTCCCTTGTGTGTCATTGTGAACAAGACTACAGTAATCAAATCTCAAAACATAATAAATTACTTGCATATCAACAAAAAAATAAGATTGTATAGTAAAAATAATTATGTTGTGACTTTTTCAGTGAACATCTAAAACTCCTTGTGGAAGAGAATAAAACAAGAAATGATGAGCAAAAGCAAGTACTTGAAGCAAAGATAAAAGATTTGGTATGTCTCAATGTCCGCAATTTACAATGAGAAAATTTTAAACACTGAATAGCAAGATCACCATTTTAAATGTTTTATGTTATATAGTAGAAAAGTTAATTACAGTCAGGCTCTGGAGGGAAAAAAAAATTGTTGATATGTTGTAGAACTGATTTTTCTTAAAGGAAAAAGTTGTTTGAGGAAAGCAGTTCTACAACATATCAAATTGTTTTTTTCTTACGGAGCCTGACTTCAAAACAAATTATTTGTGCAATGTGTCCTACATCTTTTAGGTACAGTACATATAGTCAGTTATTCCTGCTTGGTTATTAATTCATAATTAATAATTTTATTTTCTCAATTAAGATGGATTTCTTCACGGCAGTACATAATGCTTTAGCATCATGCTCCATATTTCATAAAAATTGTTTTCAAGTAAAACAGACCCAAGTATGATATTATTATTAATAAAAATAAAATGGGACCTCATGGGGCTCAACGTTATGTTTGAAATCCAAGATTTGTATATAAATGATTAAGTTTATAGACAAAACAATAGAAAGAACTTCTGTATCTGATGTAAGTGAGCACAATTAAAACAGACCCAAGTGTGATATTATTATTAATAAAAATATTATGGGACCTCATGGGGTTTAATGTTATGGTTGAAATCCAAGATTTGTATCTAAATATAGTTTATAGATGAAACAATAGAAAGAACTACTGTATCTGATGTATAGTGAGCCTGCCTTAAGTGATAAACAGTGTGACTAATATTTGATACCAAGTCAGTTTAAATGTTGGTGCCATGTTGAAAGTATTCAAATATAGTGGTTGAGTACACATGATTATTTACAGGAAAAATCAGTACACCTGGCACAAGAACAGCTTGAAGCAAATCGTAAGGCTAAAGACTTGGCCATTGATGATAAGCAGTCACTTCTTGATGAGGTATGACACAATAATGTACATATATTAACTGCTTTGAATAGAATGATTAAAACTGTAGCCCCCAACTGATTTCAAGACTGTACTATGCAATCACGTATCCGCGAAGACAGACACATACGCTATAGCGCCCCCAGTGGTCAGATGTAATCGCGTACGTCGATATGCTTCACTGCTTTGTTTTGAAAAATGCCGGCGACTGGTGTTTTTGCATGGAATAGGTCGTTTCTTCTTCCAGTTTTTATGATTTTGGTATGGCAATTTTAAGTATCATTTACCGATTTTCATTGATAATATACACAAGTCTAAGTATAAATTAAATATCATTTTAAACTACCAACTTTATGTGGTAAAACCTATACCCTAGGCCTAGATTTTCGCCAAAACGGAAGTGTTAAATAGTATCGAGGAAGTAGTAAACTGTGTATTATTTCTCTTCCGGAGTTATACCAAATGAATTTATTTATATTAGTTTTTAACTACTATCCTGTCGAAGTAATGAGGAAAGACTTGGGAAATAATTAGTGTTTTTTCATAATTCGACTTTATATGTGGGTATGTCAAACCCTTAATTTAGCACATAGGCTAGATTATTATGGCAATTACACAGTATGATATATTTAAATGTTAAGTTAAAGTGTGTTATCTGAATACCAGTTGTTTAAATACTTGAAACAAATTGTTTTGCAGTTTCCTGGAAACACATAAAGAAATATTAAAATCCTTGTGTAGGGTGTTTGGTGTAAAACTCCACAAAGATGGCACAAGGATAAAATCCGTAGAACATTATCAAGAACAGCTTGGTGTTGGCAGAGAGGATGACGACATACATCTTCTATATTTTTGCAATCTCTGCTACATCAAGCTGATAGTGCAAAAAAATGCCACAAGCATAAGGAATGGCCGTCACATAAAAGAGTAGGAAGGTGCGAGATCTGCAAGGACATGTTGAGGAAAGATTAGGATTGAAATAAACTTGGAAAACCAAGATACACGACACACAATGATAAATGATCAAGTAATTTCAGTGATATACAGTATTTGCAATGAGAATCATTAAAAATCACATGACAATACTCAATATAGAAATCACAAAGTGATATTCTCATCATCATTTTGTATTATTCTGTCTTTTACTACAGACTGTAAAGTATCTTAAATTCCCACAAGTCAGGGTTCCCTCGAATGAAGCTTCAAAGAAGACAAAAAAGAACAAATCAGGTCACTTTTTTATATTAATTGTTTTTAGTAGCTTATGCTAAATTATTAGTTGAAACAAAATGCCGGTACTAGCGCAGGCACCAGCTTATAAAGTATTGTTATCTTACAGATTAAGCAATTTAGAACAATGATCAGTGGCCCAAGTAATGATGCTGTTGCTAATGATGCTGTTGCTGAGCAACAGCGTCACAAGCTCCAGAACCTTCAGGACAATTTAAAGTCCATATTAAGAACGCCACTGAAAATGCCATATGGGGATATCTTGTCGAAAAACCATCTGGGATTAGGTGGATCCAAGACAAGGTTATTAAAGAGGTACAGGTATGTACTGTACTGTATAAAATATATCAATCAACACTTCCAACAACACTAAAAATGCAATTGCTCAAATTTAATTTATTTGCATTAATCAGAATTGTACGAAAGCCTATTAGGGCCACTAAAATATATATTTTTATGTCGTAATTACGACTTATTATGTCGAAATTTCGACATACGTATGTCGTAATCACGACTTATGTCGAAATTACGACATACATATATCAAAATTTCGACTTATTATGTCGTAATTTCGACATACGTATGTCAAAATTTCGACACACTAAGTCGTAATTACGACTTACATATGTCAAAATTTCGACATAATAAGTCATATTGTTTCCATTTATTCCATATATTAGAAAATGGAAGGTTGGAACAGGATTTCATGGTGAACAAGGGGGAGAGTATGCATGTGAGAATATCATTCAACTGGTTTACAGGGGAAAGACAACAGATAGGTTGGAATTACTATTTGCGGTAATGAAAAACCACTGGGTGTCTTGTTGTCCATCAACCCTGAAAGCCAGGCCAACCTGCAAGAAAAGTGAAGAATGAAAAAGCTGTTGTGATGGGCATCTTGTACCTTCAATCCTGGAATATAATGTTTGTGCCTCCAACCATGTCTCGATAAAATGCTTCCAGCAACAATTTTTAGCTGTATGTACATCACAATATAGTATATATTGTAAAAGAAGTAAAATTAATCTTTGTATTGTATTCTGCCATTTACTATTTGGCAATCTTTCAAGTCATCATTATTTTGATTTTTTTATGGAAAAATGATTGGGTTCTTTTTTAAATATAAAAAATAGTATTTTTTTTTCATGAGTGCCAGGGCATATAAAAATAGAAATTATTATGAGCCTATTTACTGCTGTACTTTTGAAAATTGATGGAGAAAATAAAAATGTTCTTTATAATTTAAAATAAATACTGCTCTGTGTGTGTGTTTTTCTTTTTTTCTATTTAATGTAATAATTTAACATGCAGTCATTATCAACACCAAAAATCTATGAATTAAAGGTTAAAGAATGCATTTGATTTAATGTACTATAGTACAGTCTATGTGTCTATGTTGTACTACAATATTAATATTAAACACCCTATTTCCTACAATGGTACAACCCAAATTGGTGATCATTGCGTACAAGCGGTCATATTCCATTCCCTAATGTAGGGTACAGAAATATTCATACATTTTTTCGTAAAACTGCATTTAAAACTTAAATATAACTTCACAATTTCAAATACAACAAAAATACCGAATGAAAGTGAAAATTAAACTTACCATCGATGTGTTTAGCCGAGAGATCCATCTTCCCATCACTTCCTGCACATGTGTGCACTGGCCGTTAATTATCAAAGTCCAGGCATATTTCCAAAAAAACGCCAATAACACAATTGTTACTGTGAAGACCATGTTTCCGCTAGTGTAGATTCTAAACTTTCAGGCTGAAATTCTGTGAACCTCAGGCGACTATCTCCAAATTATTTCCCAGTTATAACCTGTGCAATTGTAAGCTCATCCACCTCTATTTGCAGTAACACCATGGTCCATACTAACAAAACTTTTAAAAAGTTATAAAAACAATTTTGAACTTACATTTTTTAGGCTAATTTTGCCTAAAAAATACCTGTTCATAAAGTGCGATTTATTTTTCAAGGAAATTACCTAATTTTAATTTTTTTTTTAAAATAATAAATATTCGTAAAATAAATAACTTGTTGAAAAGCGTAACAGCCATTTATAATTTGGGTAGTAGTAGACTAGTCTATAAATAGTAATACATCAGTTTTTATCTATTTTTTTTGTTGCTCTTCCTAGTGTGATCGCATGTAACAATGGTAATGACAGCCAGCAACATAAGTGCAGGCGTACAAAGGCTATTGATGAAAAACATTGAAATGATGGAATAAGAACTTGGAGGATCGTTTAGCCAATTTCACCATGTTTCATCCATAGCCTTTGTACTTAATGTTACATCATTAACAAAAAGGCGACATGCCTAGGATTTTTGGAAAATGTGTAAAAAATAGAAAGAACATATAATATGCCTACTGCATACATGCAGAAAATAATTAACAAATATAACAGGCGAAAAGCTCATGTGATTTTTTCAAAGTAAAAATTTAACTATCACTAGACCTTGGAATTTGTATTATGATCAATCATATTAATAATTAGTGACAAAACCAAATTTGACCCACAACCCAATTTTCCACGACCTAAAATTGGGTCGCGATCCATTTTACTGACCGCTGGTGTATAACTTTGTATGATATACATGCATCATTGTATGCCACATAACATTAAATACACCGCATAATGTTTATCATGTATAATGCATAACTTCTTATAAACTGTATTTAAACATCATGTATGCTATATGCAACATTATATACATTACATAACATCATGCTGTATGACATTTTTTTACATTGTGTAACTGCATAAAATTGTGTATTGTGTACTGGTATGCCCCAAATCTGTGTATGTTGCTTTATGCTGAATAACATGTATATTGTTTCAAATACAAATTGTGTATAAGCACTATATAAATAATTTATGGGGACTGTTGTTATTTATGGGTCAAAGGTGAATTTAGCAGTGGATGGGATGTCAACTGAACACTCAAGAATGCAACAAGAACTTGAGGAAGCTAAGTTAGAGATTGCAACTATAACAAATGAAAAGTCACAGTTGGAGTTGGAGATGGACAAGCTACTCGACAGAATCAGTGTTTTGGAACAAGAGCAAGTAAATGAGGTTTATTTAACCATTTAAATATGTACTGTCCACTCATGAGCTAAGCAAATTGAACAATTCATTTCCACATTTGTATTGCCTGACTTGAATATTTAAGCTATTTATCAACATACAATTACAAATTTTAATGAGAAAAAATTTTACCCGTCAGTTAATCAAGGTTTCTTTTTTCTGAATCTTTTGACAAATAACCATTAAAAAACAATAAGTTGTTGGCTAATTCATTCAATTCATATTTTTCTTTACATTTCAATTCAATTATAATTTCCTTTTTTTTTTTAAGCTACAAGTGCAATCAAGGTGCAAATTCGCCACAACACAATACAAACATTATTTAGTATCAGGCATGTCACCCAACAACATGGTGATTTTGGGTTACAGCGTCTTTTTACCGAATACTGATTTTAGCAGATCACTTTTCAGGGGAGGTCTGGTTTTAATTAGCTTTCTTACATATTCTATTTTGCTGTGTATAGGTATAACCATGTCAAGGAAACAGATATTAAAATGGTAGTAAGAATATTCAATTTACCTGTATTTGTAGATATGCTCTAGTTGCAGGAGATTTTTTGCCTGCTTGTAGGAGTGCACAGGACACCGTACTGATTTCCAGGAGATTTTTGTGCCTTGCGAAGGCTTGGGAATGCTTGCAGTAATTTAAAGCCCAAATTTTACATTTCTTTATAGCAGTTTACATTTTGATAAGGGTCCCATGATAGCCAGCAAACTGCTATTTTGGGTTGTCCCAGGTATGGAAAGTTGAAAAACAAAATTAGCATGCAGCTCCCTTTCATTGCATCTAAATATTTTTTTACATGTATTGAAATATTGAATAATTGGCAAATGGCATTTCTTTTCAGTCTACACAGAAATCTGTTGAGTGTTCTCTGGCAGAGTTAGTGGACAGTAAGAATCAGCTTGCATATGACAAAGGTCAACTACAAAGCAAACTCTTACACTTACAACAAGAACTCGAGGCAGTTTCCGATGCTAGGTCAGAGGTCACTCATTTAAAAAGAACCAACACTGCACTTCAGAGTAAAGTCAAATCAGTAAGGTTTTTGTGATAAATGATATTGCTGTTGATGTGATTGATATTGTTAACTAACAAATTAGACAATTTAAAGTGGATGAAAAATCCATTTTTAAATAATCTAAAACAATGTTTGAAAAGTTAATTTTATCCTTTTGTAATGATCTGATATTGCTTGTACAGTATTTCCCATTTTGTAAATTAATTTATTTATATGTGTTTTATGTGCTGTAAATTAGTAATTAACTTTTAATTTTTGAAATGAAATTGTCAAAAAAGATGGTTTATTTATATACTGTATATATATTTTAATATACTTGAATGTATTAAGTATTTTTGTACTGTATGTGCTGCCAGGATAGCTCCTTGACAGTAAATGTTGTGTTGATTTTGCACAATCTGGCCAGTCAGCCATACTTTGGTGTTTTACTTGTGAAATAAATGATATGATATGAGAATTTAGCTATCTCACACAAGTATTGACTGACATGTCTGTAGACCCATATCTTTCAATTAAGCTTTCTGTTTTCAATTATTGATGGCAAATATTTATTTGATTTCATATAATATTACTTCTTCATAGTCTGTTAGAAGCCATTAGCGTTTTTAATCAGTAGAGTCAGATCATGTTTTATTCATGCTACTGGAACATGTATCATGCTATATTGGTTTGTCAGCATCTTAACAGGCCACTACACTGGTTTCAAATCTTCCTTTTCTCTTAATTTCCAGCTGAGTTCTGCACTAAGTGTTGTCAACGTGAATCAGAAAATGATAGAAAAGCAACTCAAACAGGTACTCCTATTATTTTCTATTAACTTTACCAACTTGCTATAAATTCAGTAAATAATGAATTATGACTTGTCTAATGTTTAAAAGTGCATTTCATTCATTTTAACATTACCAAAAACAGTAATCAAATATTATGTCATTTTAAATACATTTATATCCAGTGGCGTCACGCTTGGGTACTGATGGGGGTGGAGCACCAGGGCCCTCAGGCACGAGGTGCCCCGACATTGTAGTTTAAAAAGAATATACAGTAATATAAACTATAATACCATAGTTTCAATTCAACGGGGTCCTGATAGTTTCAAACAATAAAAGCTGATTTCTGTTGTTTGACAGTTTCTGATTTTGTGATCAATCTGCTTTGCATTGTAAATACGTTATTAAAACATGGTCTGTTTATTACTAAAATATTCTGTATTTATTTACACCTACATTAGAGTACATAGGCTTACTGTTCCGAAAGATAACCTATGTAATCCATGTTGGTTTTGTCATAAAATTATCTGCAATATGGACCATTCTATGTTCTCTGACAATGCAGTTAACAGTTTATAAATGTCATAAGCTCTGAGTGCGAGGGGGCCTTCACCCACTTGGCTCCCAGGGTCTGGTTGCTCGCTCTGCTTGCAAACTTAACTCTCGCTTTCACTTATTGGGGCCCTCAATAATAGTCACCGCCTGGGCCCCACAAACTCTGTCACGCCAAAGTTTATATCCTCCTATTCATCATCCAATCAAGCATGTACTTTATATTTGCTCTTTTTTCCTGTTTACTTCTGGCCTACATTTATAATGTATTATACTTAGAATATTTATTAAAGTATTAATTTGTCCTTCAATTTAATTTGTGAATGTCATAACAGATTATTATTGTATCAGTCAGTTGTAGCTGGACAAGAAAAAGACATGAAAGTGAACGAGTTGATGAGACGTCAGGATGAAGTCATAGAGGAAAAGCAGAGATATAAAGAACAGCTAAAAACACTAGATCATCAACAACATGAAAATATACAGCACTTGGAAAGCAAACTACACTATGCAAAGCAAAATAATTCCAAGATGGCTGCCACAGTCAAGAGTGTTATGCTATCACACAGCAAACTGCAATTAACACTTGAAAAATTACAAACTGAATTAGGGAAAAAAGATGCAGAAATATCAGCCATTGAATATGAAAAGTAAGATTATCATTTTACATTTCTATAAAAAAGAATAGAAAAATATGCACTTAGTAAAAGGTTGTCAGATCATAATCAATACAAATACGGATCCAGAGATGTCCAAAGGGGGAGGGGGCCGAAAGTTGGGCCGATCGGGACAACACTGCCATAGGAGGTGGGAGGGGGGCATACCCCAGCAAACTTTTTGTTTTATAGACACCCGAAAATAACCTGAGATGTTTTGAGCGATCAATTATTTCTTTTTTCTTTCATTTGTTTTTTACTTTCTAAAAGGGGGGCTGGTGCTCCCATGGGGGCGGGTGATTATATTACTGTCTCTTATACACATCTTTTGTTTAGTGTTTACTCTACTGTTGGTGTGATTCAACAGTGGCGGACCATAGGGTTAATTGCGGGGTATGCTAGGTATTGGCAAGGTCCCCCCACCCCGAAAAAAAATACTCGTCCATCCCCAGTTGCGGCCCCGCCAACAAATCATGCTCTAGTAGTTAAAATCACCTCAAATCACCTTATTTTGCGAGTTATCCCCCTCACATAATCGCCCATCCCCACCTTCCCACCCCCATCAGCTCCCTTCCATTTCAAGATCCCTACACCACTGATGCTAGGGCCTGCTAGTAGAAAAAGTTTGTAAGCCTACTACTATACAGAATCAGATTGTGTCCTATAGTCAAAGTACAAAGGTATGTTATATTTAATACCAGCATAGTTGAAGTATCTTCTCTTCAAAAGAATTCCTATTCCCGTATTTTAACAAATTTCAAATAATACTAATTCCAAATTTCTTCTATACCAGTCATGTATGCAAATTTACTTCAACTTTAATAATCGAGATTAGGCATGTAGATAGAATACCCGATCGGCTGTGGAGGTCCCAATTTGTGAGAAGAAGAGCATGCGCTCATACTCTTGGAAGCACCGCTTCCATTCCAGCGTTAAATTGGCTATTCTGACGCCACCACACGGTTGTCACAATAGCAAATTTTAGCGTTGCAGGGTATGCTCTCATTCCTATTGACCAATTGAATACGTGATTGGCTGATATTGAAAACCAGCCATGCGGAAATTCTAAGCAGCTGCGATAGGCCCGACTGTGACTTATCCTAGATACCAAAGTAGGCCAAACATTTAAAAACTTTGCTATTCCAATGATCTGTAGCAATCCACTCGAAAAAAGTTAAGGTTTATATAGAAGATTCTGACTAAGAAATGTGAAGAAAATGTACTACTATATTTTTTTTAATTTGTTTTAGCCAGGGTATGCACTGCATACCTTGCTTGCCTTGACGGTCCGCCACTGTACTGATTTTTAATATACCCCTTTGGTACTCATTTTTTCCTGTTTTAAAATTTAGAAAGAAATATGAAGAATCATTGCAAATGCTCAGCGGTGACATGCATCTACTGCAAGATCAAATTGTTGCCATGGAAACAAATCAGCTAGATAGAGTGAGTATCATTGTTTATAGGTTCTAGCATAGAGTATAGGAAGGGAAGAGAGCTTAGGTCTGTTTGTAAATATGCCACTTCCCTAGTTACGATGGAAGTCGCCATTGTCATCATTGAAGTGTGCCCTCTGTGCTCAAGGTTAGAGGAAGTCCACCCGCTTCAACAGTGTGATGATAAAAAAATGGTATGATGATGAAAAAGAATTAAATCTACTACCCTCTAAAAAAGTATTGATTGTATCATGTAGAAATTAGATAAAAAACAACCTGTGTACGGTTTACTCGGTAATTGAGAAAGTATACAGACGCAGTGGACATCCTCTCACAGCTGTGTATAAGGGTGTACTGTTCTTTTAAAGCTCAGACAGTGTCGTACGACACAGCCCGATGCAATTTGTTGTCGTGTCGAGCCTGTGTGGGTTAAATGCTGACGCAATAGGACTGTCGGAGATAGTTGCATCAAAGAATATTAAACATGTTTAATCTCTCACGACGACCTAAAGACTGCTCCCGACGATAAATCACGTCGGGCTGTGTCGTACGATGCTATTTGAGTTGGCCGTTACGCTCACAACAAGCGTACTTTGCTGTCTTCCTTTTGTATACTCTGGTTCTAGCTGTCTACATTTTGTTTGCATTGAGTCAATTCTGGCTGTTTGTTTTTTCACAAAGCTTTTCCATAATATTTGTATAATAACAGTGAGTACTGTAATTTTTGGTTACTCACTTTCTCATCTGCTGTAGGTTATCAGGAGTCTCAAGTTGGAAGAAACCACCACCATTTTAAGCATGTTTCTTCCCACCCCTTAAATCCACTCCTGTTGATGATACAGTAGCAAAAAACATGACAACATGCATAAATTTGAGGAAGGTGGGTTAATATCCAAGGGATTTTTTTTTTTGCCAGCAGGAGTGTGGGTGGCTGTCCCGATTTCCAAAAAAATTTGAATTTAGCTAGTGTTGGTTGGTTGAAATATAAATTTATTTCAACAAATATTTTCTTTGTTTTGTTGGTTTTTTATTTTATCATAGGTTACACCATTGAAAACTGAATTAGAAGCTGAAAAAACTGAAAAGCTGAACCTGGTTACATCACTGGATGAATTACAGTCAACCAATCAGGTGCTGCAGAGTATGCTTGAAAAGAAAGAAATGGAACTAGAATCTAAACATCATGAGCTCAGGCAACTTCAACAGACAAGGTGAGGCATTTAATGTTTTATGTGATTATATTATGATGATTGTATTTAGATTTGTAGTTAGATGTTTTCTGTAATTTTTATTGTTACATACAGTATTGAGGGTCCCAAATAATCAGAAGTAGGGCATTCATATATGTTGCATTTGGATGGGTGATTCTATTATTGTTTTGTTGCATTCCATTAAAGGACAAATTTAAAATAATTTTCCAAACTGCCATAGCATACTCAGTTACATAATACCCCATTTCTAAATATACAAATCTTGTGTGTGCTGATGACATATATATATATATGCTTTCAAGTAGATTTGTGATGACATCGCAAATGCATCAAAGTTTAGCGACACGCTGCTGTAACGCATAGGATTAGGATGATCAAATTCTTCGTATTATTGCTGTCTTTGTATTCATTGAATGGCTTGAGTTGAATAAGATCATTATTATTATTATTTTATTTAGCCATCATTAGAAAAATGGCCATCTCATAGGTGCAATGTCTATTCAATGTTGTGTCTTCTTACCCTATTTACATACCATACTTAACCTATTTAAGTTAAGACTATCTCCTTCTAGACCATATTTAAATGTGTGCATCCAATTGCATTCATACCAACAAACGGTTACTAGTTACACCAGTTCTTTTGTTTTTTTTCCCTTTTTTTTTCAAACTTCTGATTCTTTCTTGGTAACAGATTTCCATTAATTAAGACTAATACTGTATTACCATTAATTTGTGTAACTATTTACGTTATTTTAATTTGTTTAATTTCTCAAACCGTATTACTGTGCAGAAGATTTTTGTAACAAAGTTCAATGTCGGAAAATTGTTTTAGGAAAAGAGAAAAAGAAATAGCATCTAAAAATCTGAATACATTGCAAGAAAAAATAGAGAAAATGGAATTGGATGCTGCAGTGGAAAAGGAAAAAGAAAGAAAACAGGCAATAAGGGAAGTGAACAGATTGCGCCAAGCTAATCAGTCGACACTAATTAAGGTAAAGACAGACAACAAAAATAAACTCATCATCATTGTCATCATCTCTATTATTACATCATTATGATTCTCTACAACCAACATATAAATGGAAACATTTTTAATCACAGAATCACTTCATAAAATTACAACAAAGTTCCACATTCACCGAATTTGGCGTGATTGACACCTCGGAAAAGTCTAGACTGAGGTATTATTGCAACAACCCTGGTTTGGCCATTATTTGTTTAGAAGTAGCATTCAACCATGTATTACCATAAGTTCTCGAGTAAGTGCTGCGGCACGTATAAAATTTCTGGAGGCTTTAGTATGGCGCTTATTCGAGAGTGGCACTTATTAAAAAAATATTGGCGTGGCGCTTTTCATGCCCATTCCCAATTCACCTATCTCACCTGTTCCCGTAGTTCGGTACCTATCACAGGCCCTACATATCATCCTAAATAAATATTTAGATAGATATGCTTGTGTCCTCATTTTGTTATTTATTCATTTGAACACTATGTATATTGTATTTAAGACCTGGTTTCTTAAAATTTTTCATTACACACAGGGTAATGTGCTCTCAAGCGCTGTGGCACTTATTCAAAATGGAATCTGGAGTAAGTGCAGCGGCGCTTATTCGAGAGAGGCGCTTAGCAAAAAAAGTATGTGTAGTACGGCGCTTATTCGTGGGCGGCGATTATTTGAGCATTTTCGGTATTGCATAAACTAATGTAAAAGTGTGCAGTAGCCAGCCATCAACATCCAAGTATATTTACAATTTGTGCTTATGCAGATCACAGAATTGACTGCAAGATGTGAACAACAACATATGCAAATACAAGAATTGGAGGAGAAAAATGACAAACAGAAGCAAAGAATCTTGGGACAAAGAACCCAGTTGCAACAATTCCATGATAAAAACAAAGCATCACAAGCCACTAGTGACAGAATTGAGGTATGTATAATTAATGTGTGTGGATCACATTGTTTCATGCAAATTACCAAAAAAAAAAAAATAATAATAAAAATCGTTTTTTTAATGTGACTTTTAGTTCAATTTCTGTCACACAGGCTCAGCGTATAATGTTCAGAATAAGTTTATTAGGTTTCTTAGTCACACTTGTCCCAATTATAATGTCTCTCTTTCTCTTAAAAATTGTAGAATTGTTTTGACATGGTATTTTTGTATAAGTCTTTGAATTCTGTTTATGATTGTCCTCTTATTTCTTTGTTTAATATAAATGTTCCAACTCGTACTCGCAGTAAGTGTTTGCTCCATGTTCCGTACGGTCGTGTTGATTGCACAAAAATGGGTATTTCAGCGGTTACCCAGCGAATTTAATAGTCTGCTTGTTACTTGTGATTTCAATCCCTTTTATGATAGTTTAAATGTTTTTAAAATTAAAATTGTTAAATCTTTGTAAGTGTTTTTTTAACTTTTAACATTATTGTTTACATATATTTTATTACGTTTTGATTCAACTTGTTAGTGGTGGTTAGGGTTAGGGTTATTTTACTTTGTTTTTTTTTCAGCTTTACAGGAGCATGACAATTGAAAATAAAATAAATTAACTTGCCCATTTTGAAGTAACAAAAAGTTATCAACTTGTATTTGGAAATTAGTGTATTTAAAAAATATGTACCCATCATTTTACAGTAAAAATGATGAAAACGCTTACAGTCGTTGGAAGTGGTTTATTGTTTTTTATTATAATTATCCGGTTTAAAAATCAGTGTACACATTTTTTAAATTCAATAATTTCTATACTTATTACTATACTATCTATACTTATATATTACTGCAAAATGAGGAAGTTAATTTTTAAATTATTTTTTTTCAAGGGACAATATATCATTAATATTTATGTGTTCTGTTGTACTGTTTTAATTTTTGTTATACAATATTTAATGCATATTATTCATAACAGTGTCATAATTTTCCTGTACTGTCAGAACCACCATTGAATGTAGTTCCACATAAAAAAAAGCTGACTACTAAGATTAACTTGCAATTAAATATTAGCTGAAAGCTGCCTCTGATCGTTTTATTGTATGTACTATATAAATACGATCAAATGAATGGATGTATGTACGGATGTGGATTGTTACAATATGCATCTATACTTATTATTTATTGTAATTATCATTATTCTTTGTATCTTTATTGCTCAAAATTTAAAATACAATTGCAGCCAGTGGCTGAATTGCTGTATTCTTATTACAGATATAATTTCTGTTATATAGTATCCTTCCGTTTGGTTCTAAAGGCTTTGTAAATACTGTAATACCAATACAAAATTATTTCATTTTGACTTTTAAAGGAATTGAGTGTAGAATTAGAGGAGCTAGAGGAAGTTAGGAACCAATACATGATGAAAAACTCCGAGCAAATGCAAACTATAGCAACATTCCTCGCACAGATTTCAGAACTACAAGCAGAGATGAAGACTGTTGTCCAGGGACAACATGATGTTGAAGAGCGGTTAAGGTACTGTGCTCCTTAAAATTTTTAATAAATTTAACGGCTTCCACAGTCTTATTGTTTGCAATACACTGAATTATTTACCAATTTATGATAGTGGGTATTCCAACAAAAACATACCTGAGAAATCCAGTATTTTACAAAGTAATTCAAGAAAATATGCTTTAATAGTAAAAACTCATCCAAACTTGCTTTGTGGGTATATTTCAACATTTTATTTTATCTAAAGTCATTGCTAAATTTTTCTAAGTGTATTTACTAATTTTGTATTCTGAGAGTGAAATAAATAATGTGATTCTAGGCATAGACGATATATGGTGTATGGTATGGTTTGGAAAACACACTGATGATGACATAATTAATGTCGAAATATTGAATCCCAACACAATGGCGTGCATTTCGATACTCGGAGTATGTATTATACCACTTACACTGTTAACTCTAGTGATAGGTACATAAATCTGGTATATTGTATGGTTTGCCAAACACGCTGTTAAGCCTAGTCATGCGGAACTCATGAAACTTGATGTGTTTGTATCGAACATGACTTAATTTATTTAAAATCATTGGTTGTTATTCATAATAATGACAGGTAGAGTGTGTGTGTGGATAGCTAGTAGGGCTTAAGCCTCAAGAGTAATGATCCAATCACTCAGCCCATAAACGTATAGACCTGTTTAGCCATACCATTACCATTGTACAACAACCATCACAGGCCTAGACCAGCCTGTCATAACTCTTTGAATTTATTGTATAATTGTAAATCGAAGGTATTCTGATGAATCTATGAATCGTTCTTAATGTTCCTAATGTTATAAAAAGTAAAAAGTATCATACCTGCTGATTTCAGTCTTTAGACAAGGTTTTAGAGGACCACTCCATCCAAAACGCTTAAAGTTGTATTACATGGCAGATAGCATTTTGGTATTGCATTTGTACCCACATTATACTATAAATGCAAATTGGTGCATAGAGGAAGAGGGGTTATGTACCTTTCCATCTATCTTGTACCAAGTTGCATGTTCCAGAGTTTAAAATTTTGTGTATTAACTTGGACTTTATCAATGGAATATGTTTTAAAAGATTGTCTGGCAGTTCAGTGACATATGTTTTACATTAACCACATGGAAATTTCAGCAAGATTTTGAGACATCATATTTGGTAACAAATTTGTTGTGTTATATTGCTTCAACAGGAAAAAGGAAGATCAATTGAAAGCAGAAAAAAGATTGAGATTAGACATGACTAATAAATGCAGGCAAATGGAAGAAGAGATTTTGAAACTACAACAAGAAAATGAGCAAGCTAAAGAAGAAATATGGACAATTTCATTACAGGTAATCATCTCCTCTTGATATATACTACACATAAGACCACAATATTTTCACTTGTTGTTAGATCATATATTTTATTCATCAGAAAACTTAGATGCAATGCCTCTAATGCCTCATTGCATCTAAGGCAGAGAAAAATGTGTTTGCCATTAAGTCAAGTGGTGCCTCATTAGTACTAGTATTGTGGGAGTCAGTCAATGGCAAGCTGCGTTTTGTTGATTAGGGAGCAAAGAGCAAACAGGTGTACAGCAACAAGAAGGGGCTATTTTTGAAAATGTCTCTCTTTCCAGTAGCTTAGGGTGAAGCCACTAGAAGTGCATTTTGGACGTTTTAGTGGTGTTTTGATTAATCTTGGACGTCCATTTTAAAGATAAAAAGCAAAAATCGCTGCAACAATCAAAATTTGTTTTATTATATTAAACATTCTAGCCATTTAGAAAATGTAAATATTTTTTGAAATTGCAGAGGAAATTAGGACCCCTGTGGTGTGATGTCAAATTTGAAAATATTTCTACTCTTTTATTTGCATAAAATAAAAAACTAAATTTAATTGAATGTCTGACCCAGTTGCTGTAAACAGACAGCAAAACCTGGCAAGCCCACTGCTACAGTATGTTTGAATCACAGACCTTTGTTGTGTTCTCTGTTATATCTGATAGCTGTCATTTGACATCACCTGATAATGCCTCATTGTTAACAGAATAAAATCTACTTTATTGAAATGGAATAAAAATGATAGTCAGTATTCATTAGCACTCCAAGTCTTATCTATATTGATTAAATCATGTGAGGGATATTAGTGTATGTGTAATAATGCATTCATATTGCGTTGATATTAGGCACGCCAGCAGAGTATGCTATCTACACAACCTAAACGCCATCAGGTATACACAGACCAACTACTATCAGAGTTACAGAAAGAGCGCGACCACTCTCAACTTATGGATAAGAGAATGAAACGGATTATGGTAGGTTGACACCTTGTTGAAAAATAACCCTTTTCATTCCATTACAGTGTAAACCAATCATCCTAACTATTACATCAAACTCACAAACATCTGTCTAACAAGCAGTAGCCTGATATTAACCACTACAGCTCATCAACAAGCATCATAACCAAGGACTTTTAACCATTTTACAAGCATCCTTGTAATGCTATATCTCACCCACAAACATCTTTGTAATTCCATAGCTCACCCACAAGCACCTTGATAATGCCATAGCTCACCCAAAAGCATCTTAGTAATGCCATAGCTCGCATACAAGCTTCTTAATAATGTCATAGGTCACCCACAGGCAGTGGCTTAACAGGCGGGAGGGGGGGCAGGGGGAAGACCCCCACCCCCGGACGGTTTTTACCGAGCTGAACTAGCCGTCGTACCGGGCTGGGTAATAAGAGAAAAGAAAAAGGGGAGGGGGAGAGGGAGGGAAAGAGAAAGAAGAGGAAGAGAAAAGGAAAAAAAAGAAGAGGAGAGAAAAATAAAGACAAGAATAAAAAGGAAGATATCATAATGACCAGACTCACAACACCCTGCAACCTCTTCTCCACTTAACTCCTTTGATCTATGCTGCCAGATGGCGTAGGCTAACCACCGGGGAACAAGGGGAAAATATCTATCTTTCCAAAATCTTTCCTACCCTTTTATAAATGCCCTTTTCATCCCATGTAAGTGCCTAAAAATCTCAATTTTCGCGCGCATTTCTGGCGGTAGGCCAATTTCCTCTATAAATTGCACATTTTAGGGAGTTTTGATTAATTCCGATGAAATTAGAATATGTTTGTAATAAATAAAACCATGATGAAAATGCTTATATTTAGTTTCAAACACATGTGTGTGGCCTATATTATAAATAAGATAAGCCCTATGTCGTATTGTTTTCTATATGGGGAGGGAGTGGGGTGGGTATGATAAAGTACTAACCGGGAAAATTATTACCTTTATTATTTATTATTATTACCCCCCCCACCGACCCAAGACCCCTGTTACGTGCATGCCCACAGGCATCTTAGTGCCATAGCTCACCCACAAGCAACTTAATGCCATACAGAAGCTCACATACAAGCTCGTTCATTTTACCCAAGATCTTTTAAACACCAATTTAAAAGAAAATTTTTTTTTTATTTTCAGAACTCCAGTTCCAGATTTGTTGAGGATTTAGCATTAGACTTAGATGAGTCGAAAGTCAAGATTGATGAGTGAAGTGTTAGTTAGAGACTTTATAGGTATAATAGATTGCTATGAATATTCATGAGTTACTCTGACTCATTGAGATGCCAAGGTCAACAATTCCAATTGGCATCATACATTTATGGTGTTGAAAGTAAGCCTTCTTCCCATATGAATCAGCTTGTTTCCAAGATGTAGGACTATTAAATAAAATTGGCATGGTACCATAGTCTCATCATTGCTGAAGTTAATATTTGTTCACTGTGTGTGAGTGAATTATTTTATATTTTTCCCCACTAAAATTTTCCACATTTATTCTCCCTGTAAACCTTCATAAGTTTTCCTTTAGGGAATACTGTATGCTGTATAATGTGGGTTGGAATATGCCTTCATAGAATTTTTTTTTTTGCAAAGGTGGAATATGCAGCTAATATTTCAGAACATTCCTTAATTTTATTTCCCTTTTGATAGGCCTCCAAATATATGTATGGCCCGACTAGCCTGGTATGGCAAAGAAAGCCTAGTCCTAGATTAAGAAAACTGAAAGTATCAGTGAATGATGGTTTATGCCTACCAATGATGAAGAATACTTTTTACAATGCAGATCGAATATATTGTAAAAATCTGGCAAGAAATGATACTTTTACAATGTATTTGATCACACAGGTTTATTGCTATCAGGTTTAATATGGTTTCTTTAGGTTGATTCCAGCTAATAGCAATCCAGTTGGGCCTATAAAGTTCTTCAAATTGTCAACCAGTCACACACCAAGTTAGTTCTTCATAATTTTTAAATGTTGATGAAATTGGAAAAAATTTTTTGCTGACTGTCACGGACATTAAATAATATCAATATGAATGTGGTAATTATAACCTGTATATATTTTTATAAAATTATTATTAAAGTTATTCCTTCTTTATGGGAATTTATGTATTGTAATGTCTGTATTTCTTTATTTGCTTCTATTTATTATTAAGCTTAAACACAATCATGCAATCACTCTTAAATTTTGATGAACAATATAGTTTTAATACCATATAAATATACAGAAGCATGAACACAAATTACTAATTTCACAGAAAAATACATAAAATACTTGCATGTTAAAAAATATATGTCAGCATTATCACAATCTAAATAAGTGGGTAATGGAATTTACTACTGCTCACAATACTGATTTTGGAATGAATACTGTACTATAATATATTAATAATTCTATATATAAACTATAAAATTTGTCAAGCAGTTTTGACAATTTGTATGAAAGGGTTAAAAACTGCCACCATGCGAACATTATTCACCCACACTATATACCATTGCTGAGACCAGACAAGGAGATGCCAACATGGAAGTAGATTAGAATTTCAGGCTAACACTTTTCAATATCATTTGTCTAGTTTGATCCGTCTTCTTGAAATTCATAAATGTTATTGGTATTACATTGGAAATATCTATGGAAATTCATAATTGACATACATATAACATACCCAGTTTATGGCTGTGCTGTTCAACCAAAGCCGCTCTCACATTGAACCATAAATATGTAATTCAAATGTAAATTCATAACTATTTAACACTTGAACACTGCTGCAACATTTTGTCAATGTTTTTTTCTGATATACCTGACAACAATGTTCATGAATATTATAACAATGTGTTTGTTGGGATGTATTGTGGTCCACGAAAGTTGAAACGGCAAGAAATATGGACAATACAAATATCCTGTATTTAAAATAACCTACAGTAATTTCAGTTCTTTATCAAATGAATAAAAATATTTTAACAAAATATAAATTGTAGTAAAATAATTATAAAACCATTTGATATAATGCACATATTTTAGACTAGTCAACAGACTGCATCTGTACCACTACTACTCAGTATTCAGGGGAGGATCCAGTAGGGGCTTTGGGGGCATGTACCCTAGTTTTGCCATTAAATTTTAAAATTCTTAATGCAAATCAATGTTATGTGCTACTCACCTATTCTGAGACTGTTGTGCCCCCATCGGCCCCTGATATTTATAGCTTTCAACAACAAATAACATTTTGTTAAATTTAATACTGCAATAATGAGGTGATATTCTGTGATAACCTGGAAATTATTGCTTTAGCTGAAAATTTAAAACTATGATGACATGAGTAACTGAATACAGTACACTACATTACCCTCCTTCACTTTCTTAAAATCTAATATAAAAATGTATTGCCATTCAACTTAAAATAAGGGTAAGAAAAAGTTCTCCTTTGCCAAATTGATGCACATTTAAATAATATCCTGAAGTCTTTATATATACCCCATATTTCTTTAAAATTTAATGATTTCCATAGTCAATCTTTAATCATTGAAAACTAATTTTGTTTTATCTGTAACTCACTGGTAGTATATAACTTTGTGGTTCTTTTACTGTAATGACTTTTTTTTCCCCAAATTTTGAGGAAGCAGTATATCTTCAAGATATCATTAAATTTTCATTACATTATGTAATAATGATTAACTATGGTGTATATATCATTGAAATAGTTGTTAGTATATGTTTCAGTTAAATTTATTAAAGATTCAATCACCGGTTCACATGTTGGACCACAATTCGTAACTTATAATTAACAAAGATGAGCTAAGACGCCATTCTATTCCATATTATGGCCCCAAATTATGGCTAAATATTCATGATGATTTAAAAACAAAATTCTCCATAAACACATTATTACTAACACCTACCTTAAGGGGAACTTAGACAATAGGGAAATTAAAAAACGATGTTAAGGGAAAAATAACACATAAAGATGTTTCCCTTAAGTCCAAGTTAGTGCTAGTTATTATTATTATTATTATTGTTGTCATTATTATTATTACTACTATTAATATTATTACTTATTAGTATTACTATTATTATTATAGTTATTGTTATTACAATTATTATTATTATTGTTATTATTACTACTACTATTAATATTATTACGTATTAGTATTACTGTTATTACTAGTTATTATTATCATTAAACTGGTTTTAAAGGCGTAAGAAATATAGAAACAAGTTCTCACAAGATATATGTCTATAATGATATAATTTTGATAACTTATTTATTTATTTCTTTGTTTTATTTATATTTCGTTTTTCCTTTGTTTTGCTTTAAAAAAACATAAAAACAATAATATAGTTTAATCCATGCTGACCAAGCTAATTAGACGACTCTAATTAGCTTATTTACCCTTCTCCACAAATCAAATTAAATTATTTGACGATTTATTATACCTTTGTATTGTATTGTTTTGAATTGTGGAAATAAACATTGAAAATTGAACAAGTGAAATCTAAAAGATTCATTGAAGCAACATTATTAAGAATCCAGGGGTGGACACATAAATGTTATCAATATGACTGAATTAATAGTAAGTTGACCTAAATTAAAATATTATTTTAAGGCCTCTGAAAATATTAGTTCATTAACAAACCCACATCATCATCAGACCATACTTCTATGGTAGGACTAATGTATGTGTTGATCCAACCATCAGAAATTTTTGTTGACCTCCCCCCCCCCAGAAAAAAACAAACAACAAAAGAACATGCAAAATCCTAGACCTGTCCCCTGGCATCACATCTTAAAAGTTACCCTTGTCATCTTTGCTAAAAAGATTCATTTAACCTACACTCATTAACCTTTAAGTTAACCCTGACATCTTAATCTATGCTCGAACTTATTCATGCAACTTAGCTTGTTACAATCCCTTCAAGATATTCGTGATATCTTCAAACCTCAACTTTTTAAGTTACCCATGAAATCTTAAGGCTACTCTCAATTAATCAAACCACACTTATTTATTTTAACAATAATTACATGTACAGTGAAAACAATTCAATTAATAAAAAGCAAGGCTATTATTGTTTGACCATTCTGGTTGCACTTTTTCTGATACCCTTGGTGATTAAAACCATTGGCTGCCATGCACCATTCTCTTCTTGTTACTTAGTTGCCACAACAAGTTTATGTATTCAAATGTATTGTTTTTTTTCCAAATAATTTTATTTATTAACAAACCATCTAATAAAATGGCTGAAAAATACCACTGGATGATAAAACTCATCTTTGGCAATGTACAATTTGTTTTTGCACTACTATTGCTTTACCATGTTTATTAATTTACGTTTCAAAATATTACAGTACATGTTTCTCCATAACCGATAACCACACATATTATTGCAATTCATTATTTATTCCACAAAAGTGTTCTTTGACAAGTATACTTGTTGTGACGACATCGGCAACAGGAGATGAGTTCATGGCAGTCAACTGTAGTTACAATAACGAAAACACTGATTATGGAATGGTAAAAACAAGGCTTTGGGACTGAGGTCAATTTAAAAGCTGAATTTTCTTCTTCACATCACAAAAGTTTGTTCATGATACTATCTAATTTAATTCAAATTTATATAGTTAAAGAGGTTTAATAATCAATAATGAGTTTAATGGTTTATTAATCAATAATGAGTACAGTATATACATTATTGATGATTATATATGTACATATACATTGATATATAAATATATATTATAGATGTAATTATATATATGGTTCTACCTCTGGCTAGCTATATATATATATATACATAAATATATATATATAGCATATTAAAAAATGATGATTCCACGTTTGCTTCGATAAATAAAAAATATAGAAAGACAGCAATATAAAACAGCTATGAGTTGTAGACATATTAGAAGACAGTATATATATATATATATATATATATAGAGAGAGAGAGAGAGAGAGAGAGAGAGAGAGCCAGGGGTACTACAAAAACGAACTTGGTTTATTCTGTCCAGACGATCTGGTACCTTATACTTGTATATAATTTTAATTTTAAAAAATGGACTAGTAAAAGTTAATATGCAAATCATATTCAAAGTACATATTAATTTAACAATTATGATGTTAAAACTGAACAATAAGCCAACTAGAAATTCTAGGCTTTTACGTTTGTTTGCGGTTTCATTAAAAACAAGTTAGAATGCTTGTTTACTGGATTTCTTAAATCAATTCTACCTTGGTTTACTCAGTCACTCAATAAAATCATTATTCTGATATTAAAAACCAATCTTAAACTAAACATCTGAATGTTTATTCAAAGCCTGAACATATGCATAATGTTACGAAGCTACAGAAATATATTTCAATCTTAAAACATTCACGCTTGGTCACACATTATAAGCACATCATGGTCAATAGTTGAAAAACATTGTTGTTTGTTAGATTTTCACATGCTTCTTTAAAAAAAAATCTTTGTTCAGATACATCGGATACAAAATATAGGAATGAACATGTTTGTAACCTGGATTGTAGTCTAACATCTGTGCCAAGCAAGCTGGCTCCAAGATCCAGTGTTTAATGAAGTAAGGCAAACAACTGTTTAAGCTTAAAGGGAATGCAACATATAAACAATACTAATTACACACAATTCTTTGCTAATATATAGATATATGATTCATTTTGGTATGAATAACTATAATAGCATTCGTATTTACAGTAGATAAACAAAGAGACTATGCCAACCAGTCAGTCCAAGGAATTAAATATTCATCTTGCAAGAAAATAATTGGACGGCCATTACAAAATGCATCCAATCACTTTTATTATTTAATTGCGACGACAGTAAAATCATTGTGCTGTAAATGTCATAATTCTCTGTTGTAGCATAAAAAATACTTTTGGTAGGTGATGATAACCATTTCAAACATAAAGACGCTTGTGGGCAAATCTTGCCCTTTTTTTTAACAATTCTATTTGGAAAATGTTTATCGGATAATTTCAATCCGATAATTTGTTTAATTTGTTGGTTAATCAATACATTGTGAAAAGCAGTTTATATTGCAGAAAATGAGTTTCTATTATGTAGTGTTAGCCAATCACAGGCAGAGTATCACCAATCACAGGAAAGTGGATGATTAGCTAATCATAAAATTGTAACACCATCTTTTTTGAGAGCATCCAATAAATACAAAAGAACAGACATTTCAGGATTTAAAATGAGAACCAACCATACATAACATCCAGAAAGGTTTTATTGTTCAGAAATTCATTATCAGATTGCTGTTCTGTTCATAATATTTTGTAACCTAGTTAATAAGGACATTTATAAAGTTAATCAATGTCCATGTTTTTAGCTGAATCTGTCTTTTTATAGAATGTAAAATGCAAATAAATTGAAAACTAGTTGACATTGTCTCTTTTACTTTTAAAAATTACTGAGATTACTGGAAAACTATGAAAACATTTATTAAAAATATTTCTTTTGTCACAAGTCACATATGCCTCACTTCAGTTACCACATGTCACATGCTTCATGTCAGCTGCCACATACCAAATGCTACTCGCCATCACTAGCTTACAATGCGTGTCATGTTGGCGTTGAGAGTAATCCGCACTTGGCTTTACCAAACTTCACATTTATTAGCTGGATTCATCCTTGATCCCTTTTTGCAATCGTAAAGTTCAGCAAAATCCTCTGAATTAGATAATGTTCCTATGACCCTGAAAATAAGATTATATGAAACTGACTTAACTGCTCGGCCAATCAACTCTCCAATGATGGGATTAGATGCTTAATGGCGGGATGAGATGTTTAATGGCGGGATGAGATGCTTAGTGATGGGATGAGGTGCTTAGTGATGGGATGAGATGCTTAGTGATGGGATGAAATGCTTAGTGATGGGATGAGATGCTTAGTGATAGGATGAGATGCTTAGTGATGGGATAAGATGCTTAGTGATGGGATGAGATGCTTAATGACAGGATGAGATGCTTAGTGATGGGTTGAGATGCTTAGTGATGGGATGAGATGTTTAATGACAGGATGAGATGCTTAGTGATGGGTTGAGATGCTTAGTGATGGGATGAGATGTTTAATGACAGGATGAGGTGCTTAGTGATGGGACGAGATGCCTAATGACAGGATGAGATGCTTAGTGATGGGATGAGATGCTTAGTGATGGGTTGAAATGCTTAGTGATAAGATCAGATGCAATGAAATGAAAGGATGAGATGCCCATAAGATGCTTAGTGGTGGGATGAAATGCTTAGTGATAGGAGCAGATGCCTAATGAAAGGATGAGATGCTTAATGACAGGATGAGATGCTTAGTGATGGAATGAGATGCTTAGTGATGGGATCAGTTGCTTAATGATGGGGAGAGATGCTTAATGACAGGATGAGACGCTTAGTGATGGGATGAGATGCTTAGTGATGGGATGAGATGCTTAATGATGGGATGAAATGCTTAGTGATAGGATGGGATGCTTCATGATAGGATGAGATGCTTAATGATGGGATGAGATGCTTAATATGTCTTAATTGAGGTTTTGATGATCTTTATCATTCGTTTGTGTGATATGAATTGACATATAGTTGCTGTTATTAATTTGACTGGAACAGTCGTAGCAGGGTCACCAACAACCAGGTTAACAGCATGACCCTCCCATTTATACTCCTGGGTGAAGAGTCGAGGCAAACATACGTAAAGTGTCTTGGCCAAGGACATAAGCAGTGCGGCAAGCGTCAGTCTCGAACACCTTACACACTGCACCACACGCTCCAACAGAATTCTTTGGGATGAGACGTGTTATAATGAGACATGTTATAATGAGATAAGATACTTAATGTGTGGAGAAGATGCTTAATGACAGAATGAATTACTTAACAATAGAATGAAATGTTCAATGATGGAATGTTAGAGTGGTAGCTGAAGGTGAAGCCTCAAAGATTTTGCATATTTGTTGTGCTGGCATTCTTTTCCTCAATGGGCATAGAAGATGATTGCATTTGCACTATTCAAGTGTAAATATATTCTTATTACTGTTATCATTATTATGAATTAAATGAAAACAGAGGGGAAATTGTTTATATTATCATGTGAGCATTACAACAAATTAGAGAACTGGTGAATTTATTAAAGTACAGAACAAATCAGAAGCAGAGGATTTGTGGAAAAGTGTGTAATACATAGTACAACTACAAGGAGGCATGTACCATATATAAGCAAATATGTTTGACTACCTTCACACAATTATGACATGTCTGGATGATATTATGTATGTGTGTCTGATTGTTTTAATACAACCTGCATTAGCTTACCTGTACTTAGCTGGGCTATGAGGATCTGTCAAGATTTGCAGGTGTGCATCTTCAGGTGTGCTAGAGGTGCACCACACCTGAGCAAAGCCAACAAAGAACAACTGCTCCTGACTGAGTCCAATGGCGGGTAATTCTTTTTCTTTACCATGATCATGTACCCACTCTTGATATGCCTGTCAATGCAAAACATATCTGTCAATATTGTTGCTTATGCATTTAATGAACTCCTGATGCTTTGTGGACATTCATATGCTGTTGATGTGTGCATTTTAATGCCATGTTGGATTGTAATTAATGCTGTAATTTATTTAGACCTGTTTTTAATGCAAAATGTAAATACTGAAATAGTTTTAACAAAACATTTTAAAAATGTTTTTGAGCATTTTAAAATAAAATTTTACATTTTTACTTATTTTTTTTACTGTATTATGTTTTAAAGGTATTATTTCTACCATTTTTTATATCGTAATATATTGTTTTACATTTATAAATTTTAACCTTGAAACTTTATACTGTTAATAATTAATAATTGTATGCCTTTTTAGCCTACTATTTTATGCAATGCAGCCTTTTCATCTAATTTTATTTCTATTGTTTTTTCTCAAGGACCCCATTGGAAATAAGTCGTTTATATACAAAATTTTCATGGGCTATCCTAGTATACCATTTTTCATTTCATTTATTTATTTCGTCCAATTTTAAAAACATTATACAACAAAAACAAAACAAAACACCCTTGACAAAGACAGGATTCCTGTACAAATTTTCTCCCCTCAAGGGTGACACTTAACAAATAATGATTAATAAATATATAAATATATCCAAAGGTTATGATTATTTACAATAAAAGGCAAATTAGAATATAATTTGGATGGTTTACAACATTGCATTTTATTAAGTAAAATTTTAATCTTTTCCCCTAATTTAAAGTATGTTTTAACTTTTAAGAAAATCATTGTTATTTGCTTTTTATTGTTATGATGTTGGGGTATACTGAATAAAGTCATGTCAAGTTGTGGAGTAATGGCTCTGGAAATTTGCTGACAGGAAGAACCAAGAAGCTGCCTGAAGCTTTGGTCCGGGTCCCGGAATAAAAACCCAGGTGTGGTTTCATAGAGAGAGATTTTATGGTTTGAGATGGTCAAAACTGTGCTTTTAGACCGCAATATTAGGGACTGGCAATCACAATAACTTTGTTGGGATTGGCAAATAAATGTGTTTTTTTTTTTAACAATTTTGCTGTGCAGTGCTGTGCAGTCGAACAACAGGCTGTTAGTACTACCACTGATTTTGTGATAACATTAACATGTTTTTCTATGTGCATATTCAATGATGCTGTCATGTATCTTCATCTTATTTATGCTGCCGAGTGCAATATAATACATTCAGTACTCTTTAACAATACTGGCAATTTTAGACACAATTGTGGCAAATTGTATTTCGGAAAACAATGGCCAAAACATGTTAGAATGTCAACATTTTCGAAATCTATTTTATTGCACTAAACTTTATATATCTACATCATTCTATGTTGTTATTTTCCCCATTTTTTAAGGATTTGGTGATGGTCTCTGTCTGAAAGCCTAATTTCTTAAATACTGTAATTGAAATAGCTGTATGTTTAGACTTCTGTAACTTCATAACAAACTGTTGGATTGAAATGATTATTTTACCATAACTTTTATTTTACTGTTTAACCCTGTATTAATAACTAACAATCGATTTTTGTGAGGAGTGAATGGTTTGGCTTGTCTTTGCCACAAATGCAAAGCAATTAAGCACTTTATAATGCCATAGAAAAAACACTTCAATGACCTGCAAGCATCTCTTTACCATATAATTAATTAAATAACAATAAATAAATAAATTAATTTAAATTAAATCAAATAAAAAAAAATTAATTAACCATATAAATTACCAGTGATACTTACATGAAAAGCAGACTTAAGACCACCGTTGTCAGCAATGTTCTCCCCAATAGTTTGCTGCCCATCAACCTGTAATAACAACACAACAAAATAATAATGCTAATAATACACAAATAGGTATAAATTATGAACAATTAAGTTAAAATTGTAATTATGTGGTATGGTAAGAATATTTTAACTTGGTAACATTAATCAAATAGTAAATGCCTTTAAAAAGCAAACAATTTCCTGAGTAAATAGGCCTACATCATTCACTTGAGTGATTCCTATAATTACTTACGTTGTCATTGTCAACTTTGTATTTTGAATACTGGTCAACCATACAATCCAATTGGTTTTCAAATCTTTCTATGCTCCGATTGTTCCACCAGGGTCGTAGGTTACCATATTTGTCAAAACGACGACCCTCATCATCAAATGCATGCGTCAACTCATGGCCCATCACAACTCCAATTCCACCAAAATTCAGAGATCTAAGTCAAATCAAAACTACTTCAATTTATGCAATGAAATAATTAATCTATATCTCAGACATGTTCAATAGTTACTTTATGCTAAAATAAAATACTGTACCATACATATCCATATACAGTATCGTATGTCTCAATGAAATTCATACTACACTGAATGCAAAGGAGGAAATACAATTTTTTATATGCTGAACAACTGATTTCTCTAAGACACAAAAATTGTGTTTGAATGAAAGCTTAGGAATGGTAAATGAGATACAGATTTCTGAATATTTAAAAATTTGGGAAAAAAAGCGGGTGTAACCATCCCTTTCCGCGATCCCCCCCCCCCCACCACTAGTTTTTAAATATTAAAAAATCTGTATCTCATTAACCAGTCACAAGTTTTCTATTCCGGATCTTTGCTTTAAGAACTGAATAAATAGTAATACATTTTAGATCTACAGAGAGAGGTTTAGTCAATGCAGTATTGTTAAATGGCAAGTCTGTCACACCAAAGGGTGTCACTGTTGAGGATGTCATTAATGATGTCACAAATAAAATTATCATTATTGAAGTTTTCACTAAATTTGTTTTCACAAATGAGGGTGTGATTTTGAGTTTTCAACTGAGGGTGTCACAACTCAAGTAGCCACCATTGAGGTTGTCATTAATGAGATTGTCACCAATTTTGCCATCATGGAGTATGTTACTATTAAATTTACCACCAACAAGAATATTCTGACTGAAATTTTAAATTTATTAATGTGGAATTCAACTTACTTTGGATAGTCAACATCATAGAATGGAGCCTGAAGAATACCGGCAGGAAAAACTAAAACAAAGACAAGAAAAAGCAATAATTACATGTGAGATGAATTACTGTACTAGCATCAGATGAAAAAGGAATTTTACAACCCAACCTCATTACAATAAAATAAGTAAACCACTGGCACAGGACGCAACTGAGCTGCGAACCTCATGCATATGGGCAGGGGGTGGCGTGTGAGAAGATGCGTAGGCCAGCTGGATGGTGGCACCAACCCAACAAGCAAGCGTGTCTTTCGAAGCTGGGCCATGTGGGGCAACAGAGGAAACAAAAAGATGAGAGTTAGCACTCCTAAGTGATTTCGTGCGGTCAATGTAAAATTTGATGGCCCTAACGGGACACCATAATTTATCTTCTCTAACCCCCGAATGTGCGGCAATGGTGGGAATGAAAGTAGCAGGAGGCGTATGCGCCAAGGTCTGCGTCTTAGAAAGAAAACCTGTACGAAAAGTAAGACGGACACCACCACATTCAAACCGAATGTGTCTGGGCTCCAAGCAGAGATCGTGAAGTTCCCCACAGTGCTTGCAGGATGCAACTGCAACTAAAAATGCCGTCTTGAGGGACAAATGATATAATGATGCTGAGCCTAACGGCTCAAAAGGAGGTCCTAGAAGAGCCTCGAGAAATTGTGAGGTCCCACCGAGGCAGCAAAACACAGGCGAGGTGGTCGAGAATTAAACATTACATGCATTACTGCGCTATCGCGCTAGAAGTAGAAATACTCGATCTGTCGGGAAATTTGGGTACAATGACAGCTAACGCTGACCGATATTCTGTGACGGTGAGCACCTGCAACCCAGATTCAAACGAATAATGCAGGAGAGTACACACCTCTCCTAGAGAGGGAGACAGTGGATCAATTTCGTGGTCGGAACACCATCAAGTAAAATGCTTAATGCGACTGTTGTAGACGGTCCTGGACTCACGGCATGATTGGGCGGCAAGGAAGGCAGGGCCCTCTGGAATCCCATCACAACTCATCCCGGACAAAGGCCAGACAGTCAAAGACAGGGACTTCAGGTTGTTCAGTCCTATCCGAGCTTAGGCCTGAGACAGAAGGTCCGGGCGAAGTGGTAGAATGCGTGGGAGATCGTAGAGGAGATCCAACATCAGAGGGAACCACCACTGTCGGGGCCACCAAGGAGCTACAAGGACGACCTTGCACGTGTGACGCCGGATATGAGCCACCACCCGAGGAAGAAGAGAGAGGAGTGGAAAAGCGTAGGCCCACATACCATCCCTTGGGATTGACAGGGCATTCATGGCTCAGGCCGTGGGCTCTGGGTAACTAGAGCAAAACACTGGGAGCTTCCGCTGTCAGACGAGGCCTCCACTCCGTGGGCAGAAGGGACTGCTGACGGGACAATGCATTGGCGAAAATGTTTAACCTTCCAGGTACATGAACGGCCGATAGCATGATGTTGTGATGGCCACACCACATGAGAAGCTGCGTCGGCGAAAATGTTTAACCATCCGGGTATATGAACGGCCGATAGCATAATGGTGTGATGGCAACACCACATGAGAAGCTGCTATGTGTAACAACAAAGGGTTGGGGAATGTGTTCCCCCCGACGGTTGATGTATGACCCACCGTGGTATTGTCGGCCTGAACAAGGACTACAGTACTTCTCCTTGCACTCAATGCAGTAATGCCTGTAGTACCCGAAAACTCGAGGACATTGATATGATAGTTTGCCTCTTCGCTGGACCAGTCATGAAACTTGGTCTGTGGAGCAATAACTGCCCCACCCTGACTCGGATGCATCTGTGGCGATATGAATGCGTGGAAGGGATTCGGGAAACGGTTTTCCCGCCCTAAGGACATCCTCCTGAAGCCACCACCGCAGATGGGATGCTACAAATGTTGTCATCGGTACAGCGATTCACAGATCCCGAGAAGACGGGGTGAAATGGGACAGCAGATGGAGTTGCAAGGGACGCATGCGAAGACGGCAGTCAGGTACGAGATCCACAAAACTGGCCAGATACCCCAGAACCCTGAGCCAAAGTAGAACTGGAGATGAAGAATGTGCCAGTAGGCATGAAACGGTTTCCGAGGGCGATGTGACTGATCACCGCAGGTTGATGAGAGCCCCTAGGTACATGGGAAATTGCGAAGGCACCAAGTTTGACTTCTCCCTGTTGATCACGAAACCCAGAGACTCTGTAAGATGTAACACAACGTCGAGGTGATTTAGCAACACCTGTCATGATGCGGCAAGTATTATCCAGTCGTCCAGGTACATGAAAATCCGAATCCCCCTGGCATGGAAAATGGCCGCTAGGTACTTGACTACTCGGGTGAAGACCGTGGAGCTGTGGACAGGCCAAAAGGAAGCACCTGAAAATGGTAAGTGAGGCATGTCAACTGGAACTGTAGCCATTTGCGGTCGTCCGGGTGGATAGGAATGAGGAAATACACATCCTTTAGGTCTATGGTCACTGCCCAATCGCCAGGCTGAAGACCCTGGAAAACCACAAGCAAAGAATCCATGCGAAACCATAGGGGCCTTATGGACGAACTGTTGAGACTGCGAAGATTTAAAATTGGACGCAAACCTCCAGACAATTTCTCTATGAGAAAAAGGGTGGACGTGAACCCGTCGACTAGAGAGGAAGGAGAGCAAATAACAGTGTAATCCACCCCAAGGTGGTCAAGAATGGCAGGCGCATGACCCTGCAAACCAAAGATTGCAGACCCCACAGGCATACCAAGCTCAGACGAAACATCGCCATCTGAAAAATCCATGCCAGCAGCAACAGGGAAAAATTCCCCAGGAACCCTAACCTCTGACCCCGCGGCAGACATCGTTCCAATAACTGGAACAGCTGGGGGAGCAGGCTGTGGAGAGGAGGGGAGTAACTGGCGCAGTGCCGACACGCTGCTGCTGCAATGAAGGCAACGCTTCGTTCGTAATGCGCAAAACCTGATCAGAGATCAATTTCACTAAATCAGGAGTAAGGACCTGCTCCTGGGACGCGCTTGAAGAACCCAGGAACACTGGAAGCCGGTGGGAAAGACGACTCAGAAGAAGAGTCTAAGCTGGGCCTGAGATTGCTAGCAATCCAAGCCGCAGCAGCCTGGAACCTCGCAGGAGTCCAGGCCTTACAAATATCACATGGAGCGCCCTGCCCGCAAGAGCGACAGGCCGGGCAAGCAGGGTGTTTATCATCGCGTCGGCTAGGCCTAGGCCCACCACACAAAGAACAAGTAGGCTTCCGCGCGGACAAGGCGACACACTGCACTTTACAACTCTAGTGAGTAAACAATAGCAACAATAGCAAGCTTTCATCACAAAAGCGAGAAGGAAACGAGGATTGTTCACGTAGGGCGTATAGGCAAGCTAGGCCGAATCCGTTATATTCTTTTATGCTCGAGAGGTAAGTTTCAAAGGAAACTTAGGCATTTATCGGTTTATCCAGGTAAGTATTCACGAAATATAGACTACTGTACGAGCATCAGATGAAATAGGAATTTTACAACCCAACCACATGACAATAAAATAAGTAAACCACTGGCAATTTTTAGAACAAAAGAAGTATATGAATTTGGAACAACTGACACCAAATAGCAAATTAAAAATAAATTCGGTTTCTTCTTAGGAACTTACTAAGAAAATAATGGAAATGTCCAATGCAGGTGTATATAAAAGCAATAATGCTACATAGAAGGTATTACAGTAATTTGCTTTGAGATAACTAGCAATCTTAGGCTAGGAGGCAACAGGTGGGTGCCTCACTTATAGACCACCAACATAATTTCTGACTTGTGCAGCCTATTTTGTGAATACTTACCTCGATGAACCTATATTTTCCAGAGTAATACCAACAATAAGAAGAGGGTAAGATAGACCACTACAGGCACTTGGTGTGACAACACCACCTAATACCCTATTCAGAATACACTCTATTGCAGTTGATTGCAACCGCAACAGAGTCGGTGGTAAGCGGTAGTAATCCAAAACTGATTACTCACAATCGCTTTCAACGAGTGCATTCAGACCAACACAAAAAACACTTTACATTCTAGGGCCTAGGCCTCTTTTGGTCAGGCCTATGTTGACTGACCTCAGTCGAACAGTGCTTGTGCAAATTGTTGTGATTTGTTGCGATAGAATTCCATGGTAAACGGTATAATAATAAACATTGCAGCACCCAATCGCAACAGGTAACAATTGCGATATCGATAATACTTATCGACAACTACTGGTGAACTTTCACACATGGTTTTACTTTGTGATTGGGTCCAATTGGGTGTCACAATTGCACCCAATCACACTGGCACTTGGGTAGGATGTTTATAAAGTTGATCAGTAGACTGTTCAGGTCTACTAACACTCATCTGTCGGCCAGCCAGGAAGTTTAAATAAGAAGATCAGAAGGAGGGGAACAATAGTCAAAGGCCAATTAGTACCCTGCATTCATGGTGTTGCAGCCTTTGACCTGAAGGGAGCCACAATGTCTGACAAACTGGAAGCAGCTCTAGGATGTTGATATTGATTACCACCCACAGAATTGGTTCCCAATATCCCTCAAGTATACATCGACATTCAGAATATGAATGAGACCGATTGACTGCTGATAAATTTAGACTAGGCCTACCTATTTCATTCTTAGTGGCAATATAATAAGCGTTGACTGTTGGAGGAGTCATTAGCCATTCCCGCCTTAAAACAGGTTGTCGCAAGCTTCTCAACATATCCAATTCAGACTCCTTTAGAACCTGAAGATTATTCTCGAAATACTGTGTGCTGTTGATGGTCAACTGAAAAATGGTAGAAATAACAGAATTACCAAAATGTAAATTTATTTTTTTTAATACATACACAAAATTTTAGTCTGTGTATTAATCTATGCTATTCTAATGTATAACATTATCAATTATAAATTACTGGTAAGTTTTTATTTACATACTGTATCTTTACACAAATTTTTTTTTAAATTTCGCTTTTCCCCTTCACCACTAATTTATCTTAATGTGGTCAAATTTCCAACATGTGTTTGATTCAATATATCTTGGCGGTTATAAACCTGTTTTTCTTTTCCTTTTGTATGCTTCATGTTATTGTCAAAACAAATTTGTTGCTGATGATTTAAGTATTCCTTCATGGTATAATACTGTTCTTTTAACAAAATAGAGCGTGAAAAATACACACAGAAACACTATTTCAACATGGAGGAATAATCACAATAGACTGGTATACACAGTTAAGCCACAGTTTGAAAATGGTGAGCACTATTATCAAGCAAAAAAATGGTGTTGCAAAAGCCTTCTATTTACTTTCATTAAATCAAGAATCATTGGTATTCAGTGTTAATAATAGGAATTTGTAAAAAATGTTGTTTATTAAAGAATGCTGACAGATTTAAACTTTTACATACAATTTTATAATAATCATTCAACCTCGTTTCATTCATTATGAATTCTGGAAAGCCTATGAGGTCAACTACAGCTTCAGCCTGAAAAAAAAAAACCAGAATAGTTGAAAAAATGTTGTGCAAATGAAGTTTGACACTTTCTGCTGCTTAGGGATACAATGACCTCCACAGGGTCGAGCTCTATGTTTCATATTTTTACTTGTTTTTAAATAATTTTTTTTTTGTTTTTAATTTCAACATCAGTTGGCCATGTAATGAGGAATGCCCTATATGCTCTGTTTTTATAGGCTTAGTAAATCTTGTTCACTTCAATTGTTTACTTTTTGATTTACAAATTATATTCAAATCAGGATTCAAACCCAAGCCCTTCCGATTACCGGAATACTAAAAAGCTGCTAAAACTGCACTTGGCTCATCCTACCTTTTCTGCTGCAACTCTCCTGGTTTCATCATCCATCCACGCTAAATCAGGAAGATTGTTTTTGAAGGCATCACGAATCTCTTCAATCATAACTTTAGCCTGTTAAAAGAATCATCACATCTTCAATTGTTTCCTATGCATGAACATTTGAGTGCTTGATTCCTATAAACATCTCCATCATGTAATGTACTGTATCTATTATAGTATGATGTAGTATGAGGCAACTGAACTGAGCACCAGTGGCGGTGCCTGCAACTGAAATTTGGGGGCCCCCAAGGGCAAGGTAACATTTTAAGGAGGGGATATGCTTGGGAGACCTGAGGTGGGCGTGGTTGGGCATTACTGAAAATGTCTCGAAAGTGGTCCGGGGAAAAAATCCCCCCCCCCAAAATGACATTTCAGAGGGTTTCAGAGGCTTATTTAATTGATTTAATAGATAGATAGTCTATTAATATGTAGGAAATACATGTCATTTCTTTTTCCACCCGACACATTGTGGTTTTCTTCTTTTTTGTGGGTAAAACTGGGGGGGGGGGCAAGAAAATGATCTGTGTGGCAAACTCCCCCCACCACCACTGCTGAGCACTAAACTGAACTATATTTCAGAAACTTAACATCATATATTATCTACTGTATTAAAATAAAGTTTTTATATTAAACACTTTCAATACATGACTTATGAACAAATCAAATAAAGAATATTATAATACAAGGTAATATAATACAGTATGAAGTGAAGGCAGCATATAGAGTTGTTGATATTTCAATGTATGTGGCAATCCGTTTCACAGTAAACTTCCACAGTAAAATAAACAATGATTGTACGTTAAATCTTGCACTTTGATTGAAGAGAAAAATACAGTACAGACTTTTCATTGAAGGGCTATGTTTGATACAGTTAAAACACGTTCCTATTCAAGCACTGTTATTATTATCTACCTGTTGTTTATATTGTGTTTACATATGCTATATACAGGTATATATGTTTAAATCAAATACTGTAGATAATAATACATACAAGAATATAGGAACATGATGTTATAAATCAATTCAAACATAGTAATAATCAATGAAATTTCCTCATTATAGTTGTAGGAAAGTATATTCACTGGTAGAATTAAACTTGTATATACAAATTTGCTCCACTATGTATGAGCCCTCAAATTTTATGAATGGAGGAGAGAAACTACTGTAGTAGTCTTAGATTCCAAAAAATATTGTTTGGGCCTCTGTGACTAAAAAGTATGACTTTTGCTGAGATAGCGAGAGATTGTAGGTTTGATTCCACCAGAGACCCTTTTTTTTAGGCAAACCTAGTACCATCTACGTGGTCTGTCTCTTATACACATCTAGATGTGTATAAGAGACCAATGTAGCAGCAGACATTTCATAAATATCTGAATAAAATCACAACAGATTATTGAGATACAAGCGTAAAAATCCACAGGCGGCCATTTTGAAAAATGCCTCCAAATGGGACTTTCCCCCCATATCTGGACGGTATATAGGAGCTATATTTTATCTAAATTGGTCTATCTTGCCAAATCCATCGAGAAAAAAAGGTATCCTAAAATTAGTCATGGATCTCATGAAAATGACTCTACTATAACTGGACAATAACATTTGTATCATTAATAAGTTGTTTTTTTCTCACAAAAGTATAGCAAATGTGGGATACTAAATTGTAAGATACTTGCAGCTTTCCTATCACCACCTTTAAATGCAGCATCTACAAACATAGCACCAGCAGCCATTCCAATCAATTTGTCCACCACGGCGACACAGAACCGCCATTTTTGTGTAGGGCTTTTCTTGCCAGAGAGAACTTTTACAAGTTCAAGTTCTGCATCGGTAAACTCATGACTCAGCCATTCTGCCATAGAATCTGCAACTTGCCACATCATGTAATTGTGCAGGACCCTATGTAAAACAAAAATAATAATTATATATATATGAAAACAAGGAAATAATTATTCTAGATTCAAGTAGAATCAAATTTGTTTACACATATAACCATTTGTTATGATTAAATGTTTTTAATTTTGAAATGTGCAGCATAATCTCTCTCTGCATATTAATGATTTGACTTTATACTAATAAAAATATGTGGGAAGATGTGCCAACAAACAAACATGAGTAATTAGCTGCAGATGGTGGAATTTATATTTTTATAATCTCTTTTAGCAACTGAAAAACATATATCATATCAATAAATAATGTAAGCAAATTACAGTATGTTGTTTGATGACTAATTTCATAAATAGAGAAAATGAATGTGAGTGGATAAAACTGGTCTTGAAACAAGATTATTAGCTTTGATTTGATTGTTCTTACCTAGGCTCTGTTTCCAACAGGATTGTTGACAGATTAACTATAAATTCCTGATTGTACAATACGACTGGTTCTGATGGTTTAATGGTGATATCCACCGGTTTGAACTTAGCAGACATAAGCGATATCCAATCAATCTAAAAAAAATTTGAAGACTTTATGGAAAAAACAATACAGAGATAAACCATTATAAACATAACCAGATTAGGTCCAAGAATTGAAAAAAGAAAAAGAGAATACTGAGTATCATACGACCGTCGCACGATGAATCAAAATTTTCTTCTGACGAGCGATAGATGACGCAACGCAGTCTGCTGATTGTCAGTGGCAATCTGAACGGATCCTCATTAAAAAGACGATCCGTTGGGTCCGCGTCTTTGTGTGCTTTCTTAGTCGTGTTGCCGTTACGTCGCCGTCACACGCAGTGAGTAACCGGCTTTAAGGTGCAGAGCCCCTGTGTGGGATTGAGAGGCAAAGCACTATGGAACAATGAATTTCATCAATATTTGAAGGTAGAGTATATATTAAGAATCAAAAATTGAAAATCAGAATCTAGTTTAGCAATAGTGGATTCAAGAAGGGTGTTAACAGTTTAAATGCACAGTCTGACACTCCTGGTATTGGCCCATGGAATACAGTAGGCTTAATTAACACAGTTTAGAAGCTTCCATTTGGTTGCTATCGGCTAATGTTGATTACATTTATGATTTTTCTTTTAATTTTGTTTTGTAATTTAATGTAATTTAAGATCATACCCTGGACCTCAGGGAAGAACAGTGTAACAATACTGATTGAGTATGCAGAATAAAGAAAGATTTCTATGTATCTGTAAATTGTGTATCATAATTTCCTGGTCTATGCCATATGCCATCCTTAAATATATCATCAACAGAAACCAGGATAAATATGATTTTCCCCATAAAACGATCTAATCAATGACCGCAGCACAGGGTGGCCCGGGTGAGAATGCCAACCCTCCTGTAGGCCCACAAATAATTTTTCAAGAAAAGTTTGAATATTGATTTTGACAAAATCATAAGCCAATAGATTCCAATTGACTTTTACTTATTGTGGCGGGAGGGCATTAGAGGAGATTAAATAATAAAAGTAGTCTCCCAGAAATTTGTTCAAGGCATTCAGCCCTGGACCCCAACTGAGGGGTCCATGACAACTCCCTGGCCCCAACCTCAGTTTCTTGTTCCATCACAAAGTGCTTACTCAGGGCCCACCCAACATTCAAACTGTGCTGCCTTTAACTTATTTAACATCATCTAATTTAGCATGGGTGCCAGCTGTCAGCTGAAAAAAAGGTTAAGGTTGGCATTCGACGTAGACCAGAAAACGACAATCCACAAATCATCGTCAATCATGAGTTTTAGATTTTAAGCGACGATTAATCTGGGACTGTCTGACGTTATTTGCAAGACATGTGTGCGTGCATAATTGTGTTCATATTGTTTGAATATCGCAGAGTTCCATATAGGATGTGAAACCAACTTTGAATCCATCATATCACAAAAAGCTCACTATTTGTGTCATCAACATTTGTCAATGACACTCCTTCAAATTGGCGCATTGAGACTTGTATAATTGAAGATTGGATTGGATTGGACTGTAATGAGCAACTGAAATTTAGCAAGGTAATTTGCTTCATTTTTGGCTTACAAACTTGTTTTCCATAAAATCGCTACACTGTCGCTGTGTTTTCAGTGCAACCATTGTACTGCGTAGCAGTCCTCGACACAATCGGGAAGGCTCCCTGATTTGACCAACCAATAAGCATCACCAAAAGCTGTTGGAGATAGCTTGTAGCGATTTTATGAAAACTATTTCATAATGAATTTTGTGTGCATATACGTGCCTCATGTACTATAGGCCTATTGATATGGAATAATAATATCTACTTTTCAGATTTCAGGTAAAAATAATTAAAAATATTAATAGTAATAATTCTGGAGCTGGTGTCCACTATTCAGTACTCAGCTTAAAAATTAATAGAGAAAAAAGAAACAGAAAAAAGTTTTGAAACTTGCGTAGCCGGGGTCTTCACGCCTGAATTCAATCAGTATTTAGTACTATATTCCTGAATGGGAGGGATTTTTTACAAGGTTCACTTAAAAAGGGATTCAACTAAACCAAACAACACCATCCCCCTACCCCCACCTTTGTTACTGGACTTGAACAAGAAGAAAAAAATCTATATATAATATAAATAGAGTTCAGATGAAAATATTTTTAAAATCATAAATTTTTTAAGAAAGTTATTTTTTGTTAATTTACGGTATACAAATTTGTTCAATAAAAATATCTAAGTTGAACACTTTTATGTTAATGAAAAAAAAAAAAGACCTCCATTAACACCTTAACAATCAATACATTTCTTATCAATTTTAGAAACAAAAAAAGTTAAATATGTGAAGTTACTGACCGCTGGCATGATCTGCTGTAAGTATTTGACATCGGTTTTATAATAGGTACTTGCTGGGCTTAAATCTGTGATCTGGAAAATCAATCAAATATTGCTATTTTGTACTTTGTAATAGTTGTATTTCAACATTCATGCATTATAAAGGGTTTTTTTTAAATGAATGTTACCAGAGGCTCTTACCAGCCATTATATGCTAGTGATCCTCAAAATACAGTTCTGCATAACTTCAGCCTGGCCAGTTTTGGTAAGCTGACTATCAGATCATCTGGTCATTTCTAAATTTGGTTCAGATATTTTTCCAAAAGATTCTCATATTGACAGATATATATGTTATTGGAGTATGTTACACTATTGCCTAGGTATAATATCAACATTTTACTGAAAGTATTATAAAAGCTATAGATACTTAGTACTCATTTAGTGACCCTTTCTCTAATTAATGGTCAATTAATCAATCAGATAGTCTGTTGTGCTCATCTGCTGCTGTTCACCCCTTTCCTCCATCGTTCACAATTATTCATCATGCGACAAAGTGTCATATATGTCTATACTCTAATGTCGTCAATCCAAATCTTGGCCATCCCTTTCTATTGATTCCACATGGCCTATAACTAAGCCATTAGAGCATCTGCAAACTACATAATAATATGTTTGCATTCTATGAATGATGGTACCAATATGTTATCATATTGGTACCATCATTCTATCAATGATGGTACCAATATGTTATCATATTGGTACCATCATTCTATCAATGATGGTACCAATATGTTATCATATTGGTACCATCATTCTATCAATGATGCTACCAATATGTTATCATATTGGTACCATCATTCTATGAATGATGCTACCAATATGTTATCATATTTTTTTATCAATTGTCAATATCTTACATTTGCAATTCTGGTTTCCAATTCCAGCACCTCTTTGAATGCAATTCTTGATTTGTTTTCCGGAGCACCTAACAACACAGCCAACTTTACATTGTACTCAGTATAAGCGTCCAATACCTATAATAAAAACACATTAATTCATACACAAACAAAAAACATTCAATTTACACTTGAAATGAACCAACATTCAATTTACACTTGAAATGAACCTAAAATAGAGTGGAGTTGAATGGCTTAGTGGTTAAGATGCTTCTAATGCCAAGGTCATGGGTTTAATTCCAGTGACAGCAGGACTTTTTCTCACAACTACACTCCCTACGACCATGGAGGTATAAAGATATTTAAAAAATATATTTTTATACCTCCATGCTAGGACTCATAAACAGACTTGGTTTGTAAAGCATCTTTCCATCCTTAAGTAAGTGGCGAGTGTACTTGATTTTAAGTTAAAACAATAATAAAATGAATATTAATAACAATGCACTTAATGATCTCCCATACTCTATACTCTTAAAAATACAATCCACAATGCTTGTATTTGAAAAAAAAATCTATTGTTTTTAACTGTAACAGATAGATCAACATTTGGTAAATAAGAATCTTATCTTATATCTTTTATATCTTTTATTTCAACAAACCAATTTGCAGAATATAAGCTGAATTACATGGTGTTACAAAATGTAAAATTTACAATATATAGAAATTATTTCAAGACAGTTAATTACAAACATTACTTTTTTACAGGACGGACCTCTACAAGGCTGAGGTCATCGACATACTTGAGGTTTTATTCAGAGACTCTTTGGCGGCGTTGTTAATTACTGCTATAAATATGATGGGGACGAGTTTGGTACCTTGCGGAACACCACAGGAGAGTGTTTTCCATTGTGACAAGAAAGAATGGTACTGTACCCGTTGACGACGGGCTGTAAGAAAGTGTGATATCCATGGTAATAACTCGCTTCTGACACCAAGCTCAAAGAGTCTCTGAATAGCCAAAGTATGGTCGATGCAGTCAAAAGCCTTGGAGAAGTCCGTCACAACGAGAGTACCAACAGTCTTACTCTTGTCGCAACCTTTAAAGAAAAGATTAAGCATCTCAATTAAACAATGGGAAGTGGACGATTCTTTTAATGCACCATATTGGTTATGGTCAATTGACTTGGATAAGTCATCCATACCCATTTAGAGACAAACCCTTCGCAAACTTTTGCTAAAATGGAAGTTAATGAAATTGGCTGGAGTTTAGAGACTACAGCCGGGGTTGTTTTAGGAATAGGGGATATTGTGGCATCCTTCCACATATGGGGAACAACATCTTCTTTTAAGGACGAATTAAACATATTGCATACTGGGATGCTGAACTCGTGTGCGAATTCTTTTAGTAGTTTTGCAGGTAGTGCATCAGGCCCTGTTGCTTTTTTAGTGTTTAATTTGGTTAATTGATGATACACCTCCCATACTTCTATCTTTGGTGGTAGGTTTGCAGGCAGGAAGCTTGGTAAGTCTGTTACATTAAGTTGAGGTCTACTTTGAGATACAGAGGCAAAGCTGTCATTTATTGCCTCTGCTATATCTTTATCATTATTAAGATTAGAGTCCTGGCACCGTGATAGTTGGGCATTGTTGACATTTATTTGTAATTATCTGGATCCCTTTGTGCCAACCATGTGGATCACTTGACTTAAGGTTTTGAATACGATCCTTATAATAAAATTTTTTTGCATGAACAATAGCATGTATGACCTTACGAAGAAACCGCCAAAGAAACATTTTTTTTCCCGCAAATGCTATCTGCCGTTTTCTAATTAACGATTTAATCTCAGGGGAGATCCAGAGTTTGTCCTGAGAGTGAAGTTTAATAATTTTGGTAGGGAAGTGGACATCTATAGCCTTATTAATAACTTTATAGAATGCATCAGCTTTATCGCAGGTAGAAGATGCCTCAATAACTTCTTGCCAAGGGTGGTTGGTTATCCACCTTCCGAACTCATAGATACAATGTTTACGTAAAGGTCTAATTAATCGTTTAGTTTGTTTACTTTTTTGGCTATACTGCCAAACTGGTGGAAGGTAAACAGTGTTATGATCGCTTTTCCCAATTGGACAGCTAACTATAGGACAGTTATTATTAAATCCAATATAGCATCACCTCTTGTTGGCTTATCTACTACCTGTTTCAATGAGTGAGCTCTGCACAATGGATTAATAATAAATTAAAATCTCCTAGAATCACAATACCAATATCAGGATCACATGAAAGTTGTTACCATATGTTCAATTAATACCTCTTTAAGTTCCGAGTTAGGAGGTATATACAGCACAAATACCAATTGCAGACACAGTTCTTGGAAGGCGATAGGGACGTACTCGAAGCCATATGCATTCTAATTCTTCGGGAACGCTAATGTCTGATAAAGTACTTACTGGCAAATTATCCTTTACATAGACGGCCACACCACCTCCTAGTTTGTCAACTCTGGTTGTGGTAAAGATATTAAAGCCATCAACTGCCAAGTAATCATTATTAACCATCTGAGGTTGCCAGGTCTCGGTAATAACTGCAATATCGGTTACATTGATATCAGATTGATGTAGCAGTATTTCAAGCTCATCAGATTTGTTCAATAACGATCGAGCGTTTGTAAGGAACAGTCTGGGAAGGGACTTGGCCTTACACAGAGTTGGAAAGCATGTCGGTAAGACTTGAACGAGAACAGATGGTGGCCGAACAGGACAGAATGGAACTGCTTGTCTGTTTCCAACTGCTACTTCTATTGAACGCTTTACCTTTCTGCCTGCCCGCCTGCCCCTACAAAATGCTGTTTTAAGTAATCCAAGTTCCTTTAGTTTGTACTTAATACTTGACGAAAGTTTAATATTTCTTAGTGCTAGTAGTCTCAGTGTTCTCCTATCATATACATACTGCGCTGGCCTATTATAGTAAGACTTCGCCACTGCTAGTCGTTGTATCGTTGAGGGAAACAATAACTTCACATATTCTGCCACGTACTACCTCTTAATTACGAGCGTTGCATACCGGTACAGGTTTAGCATCGCCGTCGCAGTACCAGGCCTAGGTAATTCCATATCATTTACAATGGCTTTAATCCAAAAATTTTACAATTGCTACAATTTTTCTTTAAACAGACTATCGAATGAATCATAATGAAAAAAATACGGTCACAAAGCCAATTAACGTCACAAAGACGATTTAAACAGTCTTAACATTGACAGACAAAACAAATGTGACTGCTACCAAGCGCCACCAATAATGACATTATTTTGAGTTTCTGTGTAATATGGAACCTCACTCAAAGTTAGGGTTAGTAAGTGCTGAGTTTTCTTATCAATCATATTTTAATCTAGACTATTGAGACTACCATTCTTTATTCATCATTAAGCCCTTGTTTCTTTTTTCTTTTTTTTTTTGTAATGTTCAATCCTTTTAAAAATTCAAATACTGTAATAGTAATACAAAATGTGTTTTTATACTGGAAGCATTGAGATGCAATAACCATGTTCAGGGGCGGTTTAAAATGTTACCAAAATCCTCAAAAGGAAAGGGGCACTCCCCTGGGGAAATTTTTATTCCTAGATGACCGGAAATGAGCTTTCGAGACTTCTGAGGTGTCTTTTAATGACCTCATGTCTTCAAAATTTCCCCCTCTTGAAAAAGGTAAAGTAATTTGATCTCATCCTTAGACCTATCCTAGACCTATATAACATAGATGGAAAAAAATCAAGACATTGTCCTTAGCAAAAATTGAATATATTATTGTATTCCAACAACTGAGTAGTTGGATACATCTTTCTACTATGGATCGATAACCGTCAGGCCTGACAAATGCTCTTTCGTACATAAATTATTACGACGTCGAATCGAAAACAGTGTCTTTTATGAGGCTGTATAAAACATTGACAAAGAATACTCCCATTATTATTATAATCAAGTACATCAAGTAAAACAAATGTAACTTACATCTGCATTTGCTGTCTTATTCAAATAATATTCGGTGTCTGGCAAAGTCAAGGATGGTATTTCTACCTGCAAATACAAATAAATAACTTAAAAGTTGAAGATATGCATATTACAACTGAATATCGAACATCATCTTGGAAATATTGCTCACTTTTTAATAGAAATATCTATTCTGAGATTGAATGATAAATAATAAAATAACTACTGATTATAACACACTCACTGCTATGCAGTATGACAGTTTACCACCAAGTAAATATTCCCCAGTTGCAAAACATATAAAACATCTGAAATATATTTATAGATACGGCCTTTCCAAGCTTCAGCAGGAGTGTTTTTTATGCAGTTGTGGAACTGGAAGCACCAGGCGCATCAAGGGGCCTATATGGATCAGACGTAGAGGGAAACGAACTATGAACAGAGACTATGGCACTCACATACTGAGTCACATTTATGACACTATTGTTTAAGTGACCCCACCTACAGTATTGGTGTGCATTTTAACAATAGTGTGCTCACTCTGAAGATGATGTTTGTGTAATGAACATTGAAAGTATCAGGGAATGTCAGTTAAGGTCAGTTCAAGTTTATTGGTTTGTTAAAATACAAAATTTCTCACTTACCTTAATTGTTCCTTAATTTGTAGATGGCCCACATAACAAAAAATACCCTTTTACTAAATTCACATGATTTAATGGTAATGGTAATTATATATAATTTATATTTGTCTTAACCTGTTGTACCATGCTATAGTAAATTTTTAAAATTTGTTTTCAATCTTAGCAGTTCCCATAATTTTTTATTATTATTTTTTTTAACAAAATTGTAATGCACTCTTTAATATTTTAGTGTACCTATTTAATTGATTCTTATGAATATAGTAAAGAGTTGGCACAATTCAGTTTGCAACTGTGAGTGCAAATCTTGTTTTTAATAAAGTGAAATATCTATCAAATGAAATATCTAATCACATTGCCACTTCATATGCTGTACATAAAAACAGACATCATTTGAAGCAATAATCCAAGGAAACGGTGAGCAATTTGCATGTCACAATAACAATTCGACTTATTAAATAAAAAAAGCCTTACCTCTATGATATGAACTTTTGAATTCTTTTCATCTTCCACAACATAAAATGGTTGAATGAGATCTAGGTCGTACTTAACTGCAATGTCAATCAATGTACTGTTGAAGTCAAAACTACGATTTTGCACGTCCTCCAATAGGTTCCATCCACCTAACTGTAACAAATATGTTAAGAGATTCCGCAGCTAAAATATTTACATTAATTTAATATATAACATTACAGTTTAGTGTACAAAAGATTTTTCTGTAGAACCATAAATACATATTTATAGCATAATTTCACAACGAAATAACATTGCAATGTTGCCCACAATGTTTGCCAACTTTAAAGCATTTCGTGTTTGCTGGGTATTTTTAAAATTATATGCATGTCATGAAAAAAATTAGTCCAGGGGAAGATTTAGGCGGGGTTAGCCCCCACCCCTATCAACATGCATGTTTGTTTTTTTTATGTCTGTGTTAAAAAGCCTATTAAGCTGTCCTAAATTAAAATTTTTATTTAAGACCTTTGGATAAATTATTTTATTATGTCATGACTGGACCTTATCCCATTGGTGGTTTTGATCCAAACCATCTAAAGTTTTGGTAGCCCCTTACAGAAAATCCTAGATCTGCCCTTAGGGTGGGTTTTCAGTGTTTGTAATATGTTTATGTATATTTCACGATAGCAAATGTTCATTAATTTTGTGGAGCTCAATGACCCAGTTGGTTAAGCCCGGTTGTAGCAACTTTTTCACAATCACAGATTTCTCTTCATAGTAAGGGTAACATAGGTAAACACCTGAAATTACATGGTATTAGTGATTCTGATGTTATTAACCACATCAGCTAAATGTATATAAATGTAAATCAAAATTTGACTGCCTCATTAAAGAAATGCTATGGATTAAAGATTTAAAACCATCTCTTAACAAACAGATTCTATTAAAGCAAAATTGTTTATCTAGCCAATCAATTTGCATGGAGCTTATCGGTATCATAGCTCCAACTGCTGTAGCTAGGTGTTTCTTGTGATATTTTAATTCATGTTGGCTTCTTAGGTTTGTCTACTTCTGTATATTGTTGTTCACTTGATCTTGAGAATGTGTCCATGATGGACTCGAAACATCGATCTTATTTTTTGTCAATAAATTTTGTTTTAAAATTATATAGTAAATGTCTGCTGATTCGTAACTTATTTTGTTATTGTTTAAATAAAAACAACCATAAAGCCTATGCGTTTCAACTGAATTTGTTCTACTCAGTGGGATACTTACACTATCTAGTACATCTAACAGCGGTTGCCCTTTCAATGATTCTATGATCTTGTTTTCATCCATGCATGACTTGTATAATCGGCGTGCCTTTTCTCGAGCATTGTTTGGGTCAACTTTTCCCTCTGGCTCTTTTTCTATGTATGCATAGCATAAACATATAAACAACAGAAGTCCAATAATGATGAATACTTTTTCATGGTAGGTGCTACACTTTGGCAAGAACATAATGCAAATTTTATAAATCGTATCAAACATAGTTCATCAACAAAAGTTCCTTATTATAGTTGCATGAAAAAAGGTCTCTGGTAGGAATCAAACACGCTATCATGGTGAGTGTTGCATCCTTTGGACCACATAGGCCGGTACGATATCATTACGGATCTAGGACCACTACTCTCTCTCACTGTCATATTACACTTGAGAGTTCACACGCAAAAGAGCAAATTATTAAGCTACGTAATAGTATAGGTAGCAGCTGGTAAATCATAGGAAATAATTTCCAATTCAAGTTCAACACAAATAGTATATCAAATAGATAATACAGTGCTCAAATAGGAACATATGTTATAGATCTTATCAAATATAGTTCATCAACAAAAGCTCCTTATTATAGTTGTGTGAAGAAAGAGGTCTGGTGGAAATTAAACCTGTAATCTCGTAAAAAAAAAGCATTACAGAAAATGCGGGCAAATAAGAAATTTCACTCAAACATACAGCAATTAGGATCATAGTCATGATGTCGATTTTTTATTGTTACTTACCAAGTTCTCTTTTTAAGACAGACTGATTTTCTTCCCAAACAGTTCCAAATGTCCCCCATCTGGTTGAGCCATCTGGTATGGGGTGTGATTTAATCCAGCCCCCACATGAGTATTTATAGAAATCTTCACATGGATCCACTGATATATCCATGGAGTTGATAACGCTGCTTGCTACACTAACGCAAGTTGGAGTCAAACAGTACCCTGTGGAATAAAGCACTCAAAGATGCACTGTCTACCAAAATCGCAAAAAATTTATTGAAAAATAAGTTTTCGCTGATTTACAGACGTTTTCTACAAAAATCTTTAAATTAATTGCAAGCCAATTTAATGGTCTACCGTAAATGCTCAAATAAGAGCCGCTCTCGAATAAGCTCCGCACCAAATGTGATTTTTTCATTAAGCGCCGCTCTCGAGAGTATATATTACCCTGTGTGTAATGAAACACATTGAGAAACAGGGTTTAAAAATGAATAAAAATAACACAATGAAGAAACACAAATTTCTTTATAAACGTTTATTTACGATGACGTTGGACCTATAATAGGCCTACCGAACTACGGAAATAGGTAACAAGAGAACAGGCATGGAAAGCGCCACGCCAATATTTTTGTATAAGTGCCGCTCTTGAATAAGCACAGCACTGTGAAGCCTCCAAACATTTTTTAAAGCACCGCGGTGCTTATTCAAGCATGTACGGTATGCAAAAGAATACAGCAAAGGTATTTAACTTTCTGTTATAACATTTTTTTTTCTTTTTTCATTGTAAAGGCGGACAATTTCTTGTATGAGCATAGCTCAAGTATTGGTATCCCCACCACCCTTCAATTTGTTTTATTATTATCTTACATTTGGTGAAATAAATACTAAATAGTAGGTCTTTAAAACAAATTAAGCAATTTAAATTGAATTGAAATTTCCATTTTTAGCTCAACAGACAATGCATCAGCACTTTGTATGTTGTACCGATATGAAGTCTTAAATCAGTGGCAGCCCTAAATTTCTCCAAATTAAAAATTCAGAAAAATAGAAAATTCTACCCAAATTTTGAGCCCAATAGTGCTGCCATTTCACCATAATCATAAATTTTCTTACCTCTCAGCCCCAACCATGTTGGGGCTGAGGTAACATAGACCCTCTATCTGTTTAATTCCCGTTCTGGGCCCCTCTATTTCAAATTCCTGGATCCGCCACTGTAAATAGCACATCATGTCAAACAGGCTTCTACAGTGTAAGTTCAAAGCACTTCTCATGACTTGTCAATTGGATCAAACACATATTAAACACATGAACCCCAAAAAGAAAGGGGTTCGGGTTCTCCCCTGGAAATGTTAATTTTTAAATGGTGAAAAATTACCTTTCCCGACTTCTTCTTTTAATGACTTCTGAGTTCTTCAAAATTCAAGGTTTTACCCTTGAAAATGGTCAGGAAAATTTTTATCATTCTTATTGACAGTAAATGGGCCTATAGGCCTATGTGTGTACTGTCGGGAATTAGGATTGATGTTGTTTTAAAATTTTTATTTTTACGAACTATTTTTATTAATGTATTGATATGATTCGCACTGCCTCACGGTGAGTCAGCAAATTTGTTGTGTTGCGCGTTCTGCGGTTTACGCGCGTCTTGTCTGAAACAAGGCGGTTGATCGACGGCTTTGATTGAGATGAGACCAAAGAGTATAACAAGAAAGCAAAGTCCCGTTCGTAAAAACGTCACGCCTGTGTAGAACGCCCACGGTTGTATGTTCTTTTTATTACCCAGTGCAGCGCGGTAGAAGTACGCCCGCTATAAACTCAGTAAGCAGAAAACAAAAGTACAGTATCTTGTGGAGAACAGATAAACAGACAAACTGACCGTGCGCGGTGGATTACTGGGTAATAAAAAACATACAAGCGTTAGTTGGCATCCTGCACTAGCTACGTAGAGCGTATCGTTTTTTTACGCTCTCAATGAGCGTTGTTGGCTCTCTTGTTCTATTTATACTCTTCGATGAGACATGCTGTGATTCTGTCTTTGAAGACCTGATTGAGGAAGCTGATTTTACGATCAAACTCATGAAATTCTATACAGATGATAGTCTATAATACGTTGTGTATTTTGAAGTATTGATTAAGAATGATGTTAGTCATGTTTAAAGTAAGTTTTAATTCTATTATTGCTGTAGTTTTATGATATGCGATGTCTCGCACGTAAGCCTAGAATTATTCTTGCTTCGTTTGGTGCGAGTCGTATAGCAGTGATGTAGGCTGTAAGTAAGTAACCTTCTGAAGCATTGCAGCATCTCACCGAATGCATTTGAAGTACAAGCATCAGATAGACTCATTTGGAGACACGCTACTCACACTGAAATAGAACGGTTTGAAAAAAAACAGAATCTTGCACGCAAAAGCTAAACGTGCAGCAAGAAAGGAACGTGAGAAAATAAAATGCACATCAACTAAGCATCAGTGCCAGACGTGTAAAAGAAACTTTAAATCCAGGATTGGACTAATCAGCCACCAACGTATACACAAGGATAATTTATAGGTCTAGGAACATGCCAATATACTTGGTGATCAAGGTCTTCTTCGAATACGAAGGACGAACAAACATTGTTGTTAAATTAATGTAACGTTAATTTAATTATTAAGAGGGTATTTGTGTCTTGCACTACAAGTTTATCATGATGTTATAGTTGTTAAGTTCATTGCTAGACTAGAATTTATACGGTTAACGATGTTTAACTCATTAGCTTTCCGATTCTTGGTCAGCTTGCAGATTAGCGTTTGACAGATGAACAATCAGTTCGCGCTGGCCATGTTTTTCGTAGCGTAGAAGTTTTGTTTGTGGTACGCTAGAGTGCGTTCTGATGTAAATAAAGATGGCGGCGCCCACGATAGACGATGATTATTTTGTAGACGATAATAATTCCTAATAAAGACTTTGTTTATGATATTTTATTAGTGATATTATATTGCATTTCTATGACAAGGTAATCTGTATGTAGTAAGTTTAGATAACCAAGAGATTGAATACATTATAAGTTTACGAATATTCATTTGCCAGGTTGTGGTAAAAGAGACACAGTTGTGATTATACTATAACCATGTTACAAACGAGAGTGCATTGCATGTATTCTTATTGTCCTATAAATTTTATGTGTATGATTATGATTATGCTGTGGTTTAGAGTACTGTATATGAGATTATTATGGTTATGCATAGATTAGTGTGGTTCATTCTAGGAAGTTGATTGAGGTCGATGCATTTTGTTGATATAATTTATGAGAAATTAATGATCATACTTAGATGTTTAATCAAAGTTATGCTGCTATGAATTGAGTATCTGATATACTTCAAGCCATGAGATGTATACTAGGCAATGTAACCGGGAATTGGGTTATGAGAGTATACTATGGCTTGTACAGTAGGAAATTATCATTGAGAAATTATTATAGTGATTTACGTTCAATTTTTTGATGCGACATTGGATTGAGGATTGTTTAACAATGATGTGATTCTTAATGCTAATGATGAAGCAAGGAGAATGGCATTGAGTAGGCTGTAGACTAAAACCTCCCTGTAAGACCATGGAGATTTAGATTTTCTATAACCAAAGGCAATGTTAATTTATCTTAAGCCACCCATTTATTTAAGGAAACTCCATTGAAACACCTTTAGTTTTTCCTGTTAAAATGGGAAAATGGTTGAAACAACCTTTGAACACAGTAGACACGTCTGATCAATTACTGGATAATGAATATTCAATAAGATCTGGTAATGATTCATTTAGAATAAACAGTAATAGTCAACATGTGTGCCATTTTAAAATCAGTGAAAATATGCCATAGATTCACTGAAGTCAATAGAGGGATTTAGCGATGGGCGTCACATGACCTAACTTGGGTGTTGGATATAAACAATCCACTGACACAGCAGTGTTTTACATTGAGATTTTGTTATCGCGGCTGTCCCTTGTATATTGCTGTAAAGATCATCATAATTCCAAGTAAAATATTCTCAATTGATTGGAAATTAAACTTAAGAATTTTACCTTTATGTTTTGCTAATGCTGTAAAAGATACTGACCGCAAACATTGAGATTTTTTGACAAATGTTAGGCCTAGGCCCCTGCATAACTATGGCATGGTTTTTGAATAATTACAAAAATTTGAAAGCATACAATCCAAGGAGAATGCTAGGATAAATAAATAAAAACTATGTTGAACAATCATATTGCCATTCCTAGCCATTTACTTGTTTTCGCAACCATAACATTATCTTTTCCTATGCTTTCGCACTATAATGCTTTTCATGTATACCCAAGTCAGATCAAATGATTGCCTGTAAACAATCATCGCTAAATCCCACTATTGCAGAGTAATAAACAAGACCTTTCAATACTCACTGTTCTTTGACTTTTGGAGTTGAACAGCAAGACCAATTACACAGAAAAGAAGCACCACTGAAACACCAATTAACGCAAGAATTAATGCTTTTTTAGTGCACAGTTTTGACCTTAGCTTGCTGGTTTTGCTCAAATTGCGGAAACCAATTTCCTCCTTCATCTCCACTGGTCCTTCAGCTTCTTGACCCGTCGTGTTAGATGACTCCTCATTCTCAAAGTCTGTGCGTTTATATTTAGTCATCTACAATGAAACAAAATTTAAACGTGAATACTAATCAGATATTTGATAGAATGAATTTGTGTGCAACAGTCAGCCATTGGAGAATGTATCATGATTACAATTCAGAATGAATATTTTTAACTGAAGAATGTATGTGTACTTAAGAATCCCAACTGGAAACATTATTGCAGCATCAATAGCATTTTGGCTTGCATATCAAATCATAAATGCAAAATCCAGGACAGTATGAAACTACAAAGGCAGTGATAAAAGTCATCATGATTACGGTATATATTTTGAGCAATTCTTCAAGAACCTTCATTGGTGAAGGTAATGAAAAAGGGACACAGTCAAAAATACTGTATAATAGAATCAATTCCCACTATTAATGGTGCCATGATATGGGAGAACAAAACAAAATTCTGCCAAATAAAATGAAGATGCGGGAATGTAGAGAAATACTAATAGGTAAAGTGGAAACATAATGCAAGTGATTTAAGAACGACAGGTTGTCTGGGGATAAGTACGCCTATTAAAGCTCATAGATAGAATAGAAGAATAGAAGTCAATTAGTGAAGATATATAACGATCTTTTAAAGACCAATAACTGAGTATAGATGTTTAGTTTGGCACTCATCTTTGTTGGGGAATGAAATTGAGTCTGTACAACACAGACAGTTTTGGCCAACAAGTTGAATCATGTATAAATGTCATCATAAATGTAGGGGTTGGTTGAATTTTAAAGATGGAATAAAATTAACACAATTTAGCAATATAGGAAATATGCAAACATCATTAACCCCCAGTAATAGTAATGAGTATTCAGTAGAGATAGGTTTTATAGAAGTAATCATTTATTCTGAGTATAATAATAATAATAATAATAACAATAATAACTTTATTGTCTCTTTTTGAAACAGAGGCACAATTCTTAAAGAGAAGTGCAAAACCAAATGTAAAGAAAAACCTTTAAACAATCATAAAAATGTAAAAATATGAATCTCACGACAGGGAAAAATACATAAAAAGTTATTAAAATTTTAAGGTGAATGGGAAGTTATATTAAAACTATGAAACAAATATACCTATCACAACTGTGTAATAGAAAAGTATTGTAAATATCAATGTGTTCTTTCCATGCAGATTTAATTTATAATATCTACTAAAGATTTCATTTGCCATTTCATAATTATTGTGGGTGAAATGGTAATGACTTCAGTATTAAAACAGATTGTTTTAGGAAATCTACTATTGAAATCATATGCAGGATGATAAATAATTTTTGCAGAATAATTTGTAATTGTATTTTAACTGCTTTTAAAACTTGTTATTTTTTAAAACTAGCCTAATTCATTACCAATTTATACCACAAATATATACCAAGGTATGAATATATACTGAGGTATAAATATACTGTATCGGCAAATTGAGATCCTAAATCTCCCAATTCTTAATTTATTCTAATTTTAATAAACATGAAATAAGGCATGCAAATTTGTTGGAAAAGTCATAAAGAAGTGCAAATGAGTTGGCAACAGTCAATCATGGTATTATCCAAACAATGCTGAACAGTGTACATGTTTAACTTCAAGAGAGAGCAGCTTAGCTCAGTCGGCTAATCTGGTGGTAGCCGCTGTGTGTGCGCTGAACCGTGGAGATCTCTAGGTCCCCGGTTCAATTCCCATCGCTACCTCTCCTTTTCAGTTAGAGGGATGAAATACAAGTTACAATAAATAGCGCACCGTCTTTTGGATGAGACGTTTGATCCCATGTGCATTATTGCCCATGTGCATGTTAAAGAACGCAGTACACTCTTCGGAAAAGAGTAGGGGATTGTCTCCCGGTGTACTGCCCAATCACTACCAGAAGGACCCCACTGGAAATAAGTCTTTCGTGGGCTATCCTTGGTGTTTACACCGAATAATTCCAATCCAATCCAAGCCCTTATTCCTAATCCTACAATACAATATGCAATCTGTAAGTCCATTATTAATAGTAATACTATCTATGAATTTTATTCACATCACAGGGCAACTGCTCTCAGTAAAAAGGTTTAATTGATATATTTGTTGGAATATATATTCTTATACAAGAATGTTCAAAATTATTCAAAACAGTTCCAATCATACAGAACACAGCACACTGAAATATTCAGTGAGAAAAAAAGAAGGAAATGAAGTGGGAAAAGGAAGAACAACAACATTCTGGCATTTAGTGTTTGGATTGGATTTGAAGGAGACTCATTTCCAGTGGGGTTCTTCTGGTGGTGATTGGGCAGTACACCGGGAGACAATCCCCTACTCTTTTCCGAAGAGTGTACTGGTACTGGTACTTGTAGCTGTCTGATTTCAGACATTTGGCAGCCATTGATATTATGTTGGTGTTGAAAGACTGCATATTGTGAGAGGGACCTGTGTACAAACAATTTACCAAACACAAAAAATATGGAAAACTGAATGCTATTTACAAAATATTCTATTTAATGCCTATGGGTGTACTGCATTCTTTAACATGCTCATGGGCCATAAATGCACACAGGACCAGGGGCGGATCCAGAGATGTCCAAAAGGGGGAGGGGGGCAAAATTTGGGCCGATTGAGACAACAATGTCCTAGGGGGTCCAGGTGCATGCCCCCAAAAATTTTTGTGTTCTAGACGCCCGAAAATAACATTTGAGGCGTTGTGGGCTATCATTTTTTTCTTTTTCTTTCGTTTTTTTTCTTTTTTTCACCTTCCAAAAGAGGGGCCGGGGGCGGGGCCGGGCTGCCCCACCCCCCTAAATCCGCCCCTGAGGACCAACGGCTTCAAATGTCTCATCCAAAAGACAGTGCACTATTGTACTTGTATTTCAGCCCTCCAGCTAAAACATAAGGAGAGACAGCGATAGGGATGGGAATTGAACTGGGGACCTAGAGATCTCCACGGTTCAGTGGCTACCACCAGATTAGCGGACTGAGCTAAGCTGCTCTCTCTTAGTTTAAAACAATGTGTGTGGAAAAACAATATTTGTGGGAGGATGATGAACAATTATTATCTACCTGAAAAAAAACATGTACTGAACTTAAAAATAAAAGTACATTTACTGAAAGTGTCAATAAAATAATAATAATAATAATAATAATAATTTAGAAAGATGTTATTTAAAAATATTTTTTCTACAACAGTAGTAGCAACATCAACTTTTAAAAGATATATCTTTCCAAGTGCGCCTACATCTTGGTTCAGTCTGTAAAGACCTGTCTGAAGGTTACCTATAGGTATAATAATTGTAAATATTGCAAACACATTAAACATATGTAGTACAATTCTCTGCAAAATAAGAATCCAATAAAGAGCTTTCAAAAATGGTGATTGTTTTGTAATGTTTCAAATAATTCCAGTTGATTTGCAGAAGCTTAAAAATGATGAATACAGCACATGTGAGCATGATGCGAGTTGGCAAATAAGAATCACCTATAGCATTACTGCAAACTTGAGACAGATTAAT